GGTTCGGGTAAGAACCCGGTTAATGGTTCGGACCTACGGGTGCGGTCGTTACAGATCCATAAAGATGAATGTAAAAAAATATATTGAGAGAGAGAATTCTTGAAGATGATAATTAGTATTTATAGAGAAATAATATAGTCGTTTTATTACCGTTTGAATGTAATTGAGCCGTTGAAGGTGCCTATTTTTTTTTTTTTTTCCTTTCTATGAGATTCTTTATGAATCACACCATCCAAGACTGAGTAGCTTAAACAAAGGAAAAATAATAATAGCCAATTCTCCAAGCAATTCTCCGTTTGCAGACAATCCTATGGATAACCCACTATGGGGACCACAAAAAGTGCAGTCAATAATCAATGCATACCACCCCTTTCTCTCACTACGCAGATACTCTTTCTCTCTCTACAATTGGTAGCGCCCCGGATGCTCTAAATGTGTAAGGAAGAAAAAAATGGTAGATTATAAAATAGCATTTTACGTAAAACAAAACAAATTTAGAACAAAATGAAATCGTAAAATATATTTTAACATTCAAAATTTAGAACTTTTGGGAACACTACAAATTGGATTTGTTTCTCAAGGCTGTTATATACGAAAATTAGTCCTATTTTTACATTCTAGATAAACAAGTCATAAAAACAGTTTTGTTTAGAACAATGAAGTCCTACATTTTATAAAAATTTCCAATTAAGTTACATAACTAATATAATTCTTCTTTTACCGTTTTCATATCAATGTATGTTGCTTAATTAATTTTTTCCAAATAATTTTCCTAAAAATTTCATTGAAAACAAATAACTGAAGAGAAAAATATTTTTTTAATAAAGAAAGATGAAGTAAAAAATGCAAAAATAATTAAATTAATTCATAAATGTAACACATGATAAGTATTTCATTGTATTTGAACTTGTGAATATTTACAGAAAATGAATTTGAAACAATTTGTTAAATGTTTTAAGATTAAATTGGCATTAGTTACAAATATGAAATAGAGAGAAAATTTGTACTTTAATTCTAAGGGTTCAGGTGGGGTAAATCACTTGACTGTACCTAAAAAATGGATTAGGGTTCGACTTTTCTTGATGCAATTCTTTTGAAAGACTGTGTAAGTAATAACTAAAAGGAAATTGTATTGTAGTGAAAAAAAAAATCACTAACGGTAATTTAGTAACAAAGGACAATACTGAAATAGGGAGTATTTTATAGGACTCAAGTCTGAAAGCATCTGTTGAAAAAAAAAAAAAAAACAGGTCTGAAAGCATCCAATGTGTATGATGATGAATGTTATGTCAGATCCCAGTCAAAACAGAAATGAAGAGGATATCGAAGATACAGAGGCCAGGCTGGACAGCATTTACTTTTTTTGCGTGTGGTTCGAGGTAAATTTTTTAGCCCCAGGATGCAGATCTTAAGTTTACATCATATTGTTCAATGTGATTTACTCATTTACCATAAATGATGAATTAATTATCATTTATTTATTTATTTATTATTATTTTTTAAGGGTTAGAAATTAGATTAGTAGATACAGAGAGTCGAAATTTGACACTCCAAAATTCATCGAAACTACTAACTTACTGGACTATCGAGACATTCGCTGAATTGTCCAAATCCTTAGTGTGAACTAAATATTGTCAAAGAAAATATTGAGAGAGTAACTAACTTAAAAAAGATAAAAGAGTGATTTTGATGAAGAAATTTGTGATACAATTTTGAATTTTTTTTGTGAAGCTTAGCAATGTTCTTTTTTATGGGAAAATGATATCACAAAATTAGTCATGGATAGCTTCTGGGGACTTGGTAGAGTTGGTAAGGCAACGGCCTGGGGTGCTATATGTTTTAGGTTCGAGCCCGTCCATCCCTATTATATTCCCTGACTAAAATTGGTGCTGAAGTGTCGGACCGTTGACAGCATCTCCAAGTTTGTAGTCTAGGGTGGGTTCCGAAGGACCTTGTCTAGGTGAGTTTCTGGTGCCAATCAATAAAAAAAAAAAAAATAGTCATGGATAATTATTTGATACATTGTAGAGGAGGATTACTTTCCATTTATTATTAGTCCACGATTAGAATTGTCCAAATCCTCGTTGAGAACTAAACATTGTTAAAGAAAATATTAAGAGAGTATACGATATGGTATTTATCATTTACTTTTCTCTACCCTCTGTTCCATTTTTCAAGTAATAAAGTGAGAGTTCTATCTCTTTCTTTCTAAAATTAGTTTTCTTTTCTTTTTAGTTTTATTTCTGAAAACTCATATGTAATAATAATAAAGAGAATATCACAGATTATTTCCTATATGTTTTGTATTGTATAATATAACCCAATAATAAAATTAGATTTTAAGATTTTTTAAAGAAATGTAATTAGCACATTTTTCATTTTAAAATTATCAAATCGTCTTTCTAAATTTGAATATGCATGTTACTAGGTTTTGAGATTTTTAAAATTTTAAAAGATAATTATAAAGATATTATATAGTCTTACTTGTTTTGCTTTGATTTTTCAAATAGGACAACTAATATTGAATACAAAATAATTAATTTATAAAATATATATATATATATATATATATATATAAATATATATACAAGCGTCCCATTATTTAATTTTTATTTTTGCAAAGTAAAAAGGCCCTTTTTCACGCGCACAGCACCCTTACACCAATTTGTGTGTGTTACTTGCCAGTTGTAGCGCAGCCCGCTATTAAACATATACAACTACGCCCTTACACCAATTTGGAGCCTTTTTACTCCTGCGTTGTTTCACTGTGCAGTGTGCACTGTCTGTATATGTAGTCTATGTAGTTTTTCAATCGTTCTCGGACAAAAATAAAAAATAAAAAAATGGTTTACTGACGCAATTCAAAGTTCTATAAAAATAATCTGGTCGACACTGTCGCAAGACCAATCAAATTGAAGGAATCCAATGTTATAAGATACTCCGCGCGTGTGTATATATATCCTCTATTTGTCCCTTTTCCTCCGTATAAAAAAGAGCAAGTGGTGTGAGCACAAAAGCTTATCTATCTACTTTTGAAAGAGTAGAGTGGATAAAGCTAGTACAACTCAAAAAATTTAATTATTTAAAAAAAAAAAATCAAATTGAAAAAACCACTTTATATGCTTTCTTCTTTTTATTTGCTTTCGGCCAATCAACAGTAATCTTGCATGTTGAATCAATATTTGGGGAATATATTTGGGGGGAGATTGCCTTAAAATAAATTGGTTAATTCATAATATACAAGGAATGCTATATATATATATATATTTCTTTTGCCTTTCAATTCGTCGTCGTCGTCGTCGTTTTTTTTTTTTTTTTTTGTCAAGGCAAGAAGGGTTAGGAGTGCGGTTCAAAAGTAATACTTCAAAATTTTACTTTTAAAATTCTTGACAACGCCGTTATATCCCTAAATTTTTTGATTAGATTGTTCAAAAGGGCGTATTATTGCATTTTGAATCATGTGTGCAAGATTGAAAAAAAATTACGAATGTAATAACTCATTATGTTCCGTGGATACATTTCAGATACATTCCCATACTGTTAACATTTTGATTTTTAATAAGTTTGATTTTTAGAGTAGCATGAGTTACTAATTTTCACATTTTTTCCTCTTTTACATCAGCTTTTTTCCTCTCTTTTATCTCGTCACTCTACTATGCAAATACCAGCAACTTCTATGTCTCTTTCAAAAGTGATACTTATCTCTCTGGCATTAAATTTGATTTTAAAAAATCGAAAGAGAGCAGGTTGGGTATTTTTTTTTTACTACACTAATTTTAGTTCAGCCAAAAAAATTAATAAATTAATAGAATTAGCCTACCTAATTAAGCCCAAGTCAATTCAGCAATTATATTAAAATAAAAGACTTAAGTCAAATATACCCAGGGCCGTTCTTGACCCAAGGCGGCAAAGATGATTGCCTAAAGCCTCAGAATTTATAGGCCCATGGATGATAAGTTGTTAAAGAGGAGAGGATAAGATACTCTTGAGCATAACAATCTAATCACTTTATTATTATTCTTAACGTACTCTCAAATACAACAATTCAACCATTTTAATATTATTCTTAATGTAATATTCTATTGTAATTTATTGCTAAGTAAAAGATATTTTAAGGAAATAACAAATGCTACTCAATCATAATTTTAATTTTCTAAAAGCACCATAATGGCATATAAATAGTGATAAGATTCTGGACCAATAAGAATTTAACATTCAAGTCTCACGATCCGATTCATAACCTTATAATCAATCCTAACCGTTCACACTCATTAAAAAAACACAACCAAACGTATCTTCAACCGTTCGATATTGTTCTTGCAAGGCACGCGGATAGCCATTTTCAACCGTTGGATACACTTTTACTCCATACACCTGCATGTTTTTTAGGGCAAATCATTTCAGCCTCCCCAATCGCCTCCATCTCCATACGCGTTCTCAACTCTGAACTTACCCTCTCTCTCTCTCTGCAACAGCAAACTACAAAATCTACAAGAATCAGAAGTTCGAAACCCATATATTTCAGTTTATCTATCTGTCTGCATTTGCAAGAATCAAAAGTTCAAAACCCGTATCGGCATATCATTTCAGATTGTTCAAAAAATCAAAACCCGGCATATCATTTCAGATTGTTCAAAAAATCAAAACCCATATCTTTCAGTTTCCATCGCCCGCTGTTCCAGATCGGGTTTGCCGTTCACAATTTATTGCTAAGTAAAAGATATTTTAAGGAAATAACAAATGCTACTCAATCATAATTTTAATTTCCCAAAAGCACCATAATGGCATATAAATAGTGATAAGATTCTGGACCAATAAGAATTTAACATTCAAGTCTCACGATCCGATTCATAACCTTATAATCAATCCTAACCGTTCACACTCATTAAAAAAACACAACCAAACGTATCTTCAACCGTTCGATATTGTTCTTGGAAGGCACGCGGATAGCCATTTTCAACCGTTGGATACACTTTTACTCCATACACCTGCATGCTTTTTAGGGCAAATCATTTCAGCCTCCCCAATCGCCTCCATCTCCATACGCGTTCTCAACTCTGAACTTACCCTCTCTCTCTCTCTCTGCAACAGCAAACTACAAAATCTACAAGAATCAGAAGTTCGAAACCCATATATTTCAGTTTATCTATCTGTCTGCATTTGCAAGAATCAAAAGTTCAAAACCCGTATCGGCATATCATTTCAGATTGTTCAAAAAATCAAAACCCATATCTTTCAGTTTCCATCGCCCGCTGTTCCAGATCGGGTTCGCCGTTCGCAAGCTTCAGCCGCTGTCTCGCAGCTCTCAAGCTTGCCCCCCCCTCTCTCTCTCTCTCTGCAACTGCTAACTTGTATGTATGGGTTTTGTTTTATTTTTTTTCTTTCTAAATCAACTAATCAAGGTCTGTAATTCTTGTTTTGCAGACTAAATCCTATATGGTGAAATTTTTTATGCTCTTTTTTATAGAATATTTTTTTTTTTTTTTTTTTTTTACAATATAAAGTAACAAAATTTGCATGGCATTTTTGAGGTAATCACCGTAATCTATATTTTATTTCAGCAAAACAAATATATATATATATATATATATATATATATAATTTATTTCTATAACTTCTATTTCTGTTTTTTTTTTTTTTTTGGTCAATTATGTCTACAAGAAAATTTGAATCTGGGCATGAAAAAAGAAAAAAAAAAAAGAAATCTGAATTGGATTAGAAAACTGGAGAGATTGAATCTGAAACAATTTTTATCAATATGCCAAGCTTTTTGAAGATGGAAATCTTTTCAGAACTAAAAGAAATCGTAACAAGAACTTTGACAAGCAAAAGTACTTAATATAGGGTAAAGCTCTATAGTTACTTCTTGAAATTTAAAATACTTACAAAAAGCATGCTTTTGAGTGAATTCCATAGTGTTGGAAGGGGCTTGCCATGAATTACCTCACATTCTATTCTCAAATAGGATTAGTAAATTGGTCAAAAGAAGAGATAGGGTACTGCGTGGTGAATTGTTCAGAAATATATTGGTAATTTTTTTATTAATTACCCAAATAGGATTTTCTATGCCTTAATCAGTCAATTGTCTAAAGAAACATTGTTAATTAACTAAAATTGAATTAAACAACAGTTGATTTTGGTAGATATAAATTTGATTTAGCCCGCCCCATTGAAAAATCCTGGTTCCGTCCTTGGTTAGACTTAGACCTACGCAATGAACTTTTTTCTCCTCAGTCTGTTACCTCTTTCTTACTTGAAAATACCATAACTTGAAGTTTCGATCATAGGTCCTAGATCTTGATTTTGTTTGAAACAAATATAAAAAATTAACAGATATTCGTTTCTTATTTTCTTCCACTTTTGCTTGTTGGAGTGGTCCTCTTTCATAGGAAGACTTGGATCCGTGCATAGTTGCATACTTTGTTATGTTCTTTGTCCGTAATGTCCCAAAAAGTTGGCTCACATTCTTTTTTTTCCCCTTGTTTTTTCCATTTTTGTGTGCCAAATATTGGTTATTATAACAACAAAAAGCAGAAAAAAATGGCAAATGAAGTTTATGTTGCTTTGTGGATCAGACAAATGAAGTCTATCAACAATTTTGTGGCAGGAAGAGTAGGTTCTGGTGCAAGAAAACTACTGTCACAGATCTTGGTTGGATTTTGTTCCAGTTCGGGTTTGCCGTTCGCATGCTTCAGCCGCTGTCTCTCAACTCTCAAGCTTGCCCCCTCTCTCTCTCTCTGCAACTGCTAACTTGTATGTATGGGTTTTGTTTTAATTTTTTTTTTTAAATCAACTAATCAAGGTCTATAACTGTTGTTTTGCAAACTGAATCCTATTTGGTGAAATTTTTTATAATCTTTTATATATATATATATTTACAATATAAAGTAACAAAATTTGTTGCATTTTGAGGTAACCATTGCATTGCATTTTGAGGCAATCACCGTAATATACATTTTATTTCAGCAAAACCAATATATATTTTGTTGTCAATTATGTCTACATGAAAATTTGAATTTGGGCATGAAAAAAGAACTAAAAAAGAATCTGAATTGGATAATGCCAAGCTGTAAATATATATATATATATATATATATATATATATATATATATATATATATATTTACAATATAAAGTAACAAAATTTGTTGCATTTTGAGGTAATCACCGGAATATACATTTTATTTCAGAAAAACAAATATATATATTTTTATTTCTATAACTTATATTTCTGTTTTTTTTTTTTTTTTTTTTTGTTGTTGTTGTTGTCGTCAATTATGTCCAGAAGAAAATTTGAATTTGGGCATGAAAGAACAAAAAAAAGGAATCTGAAATGGATTAGAAATCTGCAGAGATTGAATCTGAAACAATTTTTATCAACATGCCAAGCTAGAAATCTTTTTAGAACTAAAAAAAAGAAAAAAATCATGACAAGAACTTTGACAAGTAAAAGTACCTAATATAGGGTAAACCTCTAAAGTTTTCTTGAAAATTAAAATACTTACAAAAAGCATGCTTTTGAGTGAATTCCATAGTGTTGGAAGGGGCTTGCCATGAACTACCTCACACTCTGCTTCCACTAGTAGATTCTCATATAGGATTAGTAAATTGGTCAAAAGAAGAGATAGGGTACTGAATGGTGAATTGTTCAGAAATAAATTGGTAATATTTTTTTATATTAATTACCCAAAGAGGATTTTCTATATGCCTTAATTAGTCAATTGTCTAAAGAAACATTGTTAGTTAACTAAAATTGAATTAAATAACAATTGATTTTGGTTGATATATTTTGATTTAGCCCACCCCATTGAGAAATCCTGTATATTTTGTTTCACATAGAAATACAATCTGTGCAATGCACGAAGGATATATTCAATCTTTTTGCCTTATTTTTATTTTCAAATTTTGGTTTTAGAATTTCTTTAGTTATTAGGATGCAGAATATCATGATATTAATTTGTTAATTTTGAAGATTATTCCTAAATTGATGCATTGTATTTTGTTATTGGATTAATTTAACATAAGAGCTGAGTATAATATGTTGTGCTAATCACACCTATTCGTAATCACACCTCTTTACGGATAGGTGTCCAACATTTTGACTGAAGCATAGTTGGGTTGGGTTGATACATGATACAGATGGGAGTGTTTTAATTGTTACGAGTGAGATTTTGAAACCTCTTCCTCACAACTTCAGTGTTTTCTTATTTTTAGGGTTAGCATCAGGCCTTAACATTTAGCAAGAATAAGGTTCAAGAAACATGCCTCCTCAGTCATCAGGTAACAAACTCTTACTTTTCTAAAATTTTAATTGGCATTTTTAGCTATTGGTTACGTTTATTTATTTATGTTTTTGTTTCTACATATATATATATATATATATATATATATATATATAGATAATATTGTTATGATGTGATGCTCGAACAATTTATTAATGGGAATTAAAGACTTTGAAGTTTAGTTTTCAATTTCAGAATATATGTTTTACAAGTTTATTGACACTTTTAAAACTTTTCTTCTTTTGTCCTAATAATATAGGTCTCTTTTCTGAAAGAAGAGAGTTGATGGGAATGAGTGGATTTGGAAAAAGATAATAGGTATGTTTTTTTTGCCTAACTAATTGAATTATTTAAATCCCCTTACCAAAATAATGATCTTGAAGCACATATTGATGATATTCTTGTGCCACAAAATGCGAAACTCCATGAAGAGATTGTCCCTCGTCAACATACTGAGGGATGTCTCCGGGCAAACATTGAGGTTCTGAAGCAAATTCCATGGAATTTCAATTCCATCCGGAATATGAAAAGTGTAGGTAACCTAGGTAAAACTTGAAACGCCTTATTGTCTATTTTTGAAGGAAAAACAGTATTATGTTTAAATTGGTAGATACAAACAGTTTGAATCTCTTTTAGCTTCCTGTTATTTTCAGGTTCAAGTGTTGGGATGGTGCACATATGATATTATTAAAACGCCTTAATTGTCTATTTTTTTAAGAAAAATCAAAATTGAAAAGATGAGAATGCAATCTAGAGATATAATATGGATTGTAGATGCTTGTTATTTTTTGTTTCATCTGTGCAGGATCATGCTCGCTCAAAATCACACACACATACTGACTAGAATCCTCTCTAGTAGAAGTTGCTTCCAAAATATTTTAATACAAACCATTTGCTCTGTAATTATTCTGTGTGTTTATTTATGATAATAGCATGTTAAAAATTTCCTAAAATGTTAGGTGAGAGTTTAAGAGTCCAAAGGAGCAAATGAGTACCCTCCTTTAAAATTATTTAGATACCCATGTTGTGTCAGTACCGATGCTTTAAGGGGAATATGAGAATCTTGGTAACACAATTGGTTACATTTGATCCTCTGTTTGTAATATCCCAATCTTCTAAACAGTAATGACTTTCAAATTTAGCTTATGAATGCCATTTAAAACATTGTTCTTAAGTAGAATTGGCAGTTCCTTACCTGTTACCGGCAGCTTATGTGTTCATAATAGGATCCATAGTTTTGCTCGGGAATTTATAATGACTTTCAAATTTAGCTTATGAATGCCATTTAAAACATTGTTCTTAAGTAGAATTGGCAGTTCCTTACCTGTTACCGGCAGCTTATGTGTTCATAATAGGATCCATAGTTTTGCTCGGGAATTTATAATTAGTTGTTTTTGGGTCTTCCCGAACCCAACTCTGGTCAAAGGTTGGGGCTGGGCAAGGATGCAGAATTAAAGACTATTCAATATGATTAGTATCTAAAATTATTTCTAATCTACTTAATATTTTTAATATTATTTTTTGTTGTTTCAGTAATTTAATTTTTTACTGGCTGTTTAGGTTTAAACTGGTTTTGGTTATGTTAACAAAATATATTGATAAGAGTTTTTTAAAGGTAATGTTAAAATGCCTCGTTAATTTAAGATCAAGTTTGTGATGACCCAACATGAATTGGACTTGAGTTGAACTTGCTCGAACATCACATATTGCTCAGATTCCTGCTTAAAAAATAATCTTTTTATTGTTTAATGTTACACAATATATTCTTAATTAGTGATTTCATGCGCACATTCAAAGAGGGAAAATGGAAGTTCTGATACAAGGTTACGTTGTGCATTAGTGGGTGAATATATGCTTATGTGTTTATTCATAGTTCTTTTTTAATGTAGATTTCTTAGTTTTGTTGTATTATATCACTTGAAAGTAATGGTCATGTGATATTTTTATTTTATTTATTTATTTATATATATATATTTTGTTGGGGGTGTTACGTGAAAAATACCTACTACCTACTGTGTTGAATGATGCCTTGTAACCAGACAAGGCAAAGAATGTTGGTCCAGATTGTGTGATGTTGAATGAAGTGTTGTAAACTAAGTTAAAGGTTTTTGGTTTATATATATTGGAGATAAGAATATTATTGTTTAATTATTTACATGTGTGTTTTAAAGTGTGTGTATATATAAACTTATTATGTTCATGTTTTTTGTGATTATTCTTGCCGATATGGAATATGTTTTTCATAGGTGTGTTTCGTGTGTGCACGACAAAACGTGCACTAATATGTGCGTTTTGTTCCTAAAGATTGGATCATGGAAAGGTATGGATCAATCAATATATTTTTCTTTCATTTTTTATTTTTATTTTTTTATATTCATCGCATGACTATTCTTCCTTTTCTATAATATCTCATTTTTCTCTGTTTCTCAGCATCTTCTTCCCTAGTTGCAGGAATGAGGAGATTTTTTCGTGTGTGCACAACAGAACAATGTGCGCTAATCTGTACGTAATGAGGAGATATTTTCTTCCGGATTTGAACCCTCAAGACTTTCATGAGGTAAAGAAAGTTTACGGCGAAGCACACTTTAAGACAATGGTGACTTCGGCCCCCGATGTTCAGTCCAGGGATACGTTTGCTCATTGTATAATTCTCCAAGCTAGAATTATAACTGCAATACCATATTGGGGAACATAGCCCCTATAAGGATCCGAATTGAATGTAATCATGTTCTTTTACAAGAAGTTCTTCCTCTTGATCAACAAATTGATGAACTGCATCAACAGATACAGGGACTCGAAGCAAACAAAGATCATCTCCAAGTACTAAATCATAATTTGGTAGCACACAACGCAAATCTTCAATCCCAAAGAGCACATTTTGAGACACTGGTGATTTCGGCCCCCGATGTTCAGTACAGGGATACGTTTAAAGCTAGAATTATAACTGTAATACCATATTAGGGGAACATAGCCCCTGTAAGGATCCGGAATGAATTGATCAACAAATTGATGAACTGCATCAGCAAATAAGAGGGACTCGAAGCAGACAACGATCTTCAAGGACTAAATCATAATTTGGTAGCACACAATGCAAAACTCCAAGCCAAAGAACGTCTCTGGGAAAGCATCCAGGCGCTGAAGGAAGGGAAACTAGGTAAAACTTAAACTTCTTGTTGTCTATTTTTGTAAGGAAAAACAATATTGTGTGTTTAAATCGGTAGATACAAAACAGTTTGAATTGCCTTAATTGTCTATTTTTTTTTTTGAAGGAAAATCAAAATTGAAAAGATGAGAATGCAATCTGTGTTTAAATCTGTATAGAGATACAATATAGATTGTAGATGCTTGTCATTTTTTGTTTCATCTGTGCAGGATCATGCTCGCTCAATCACACACATACCGACTAGAATCCTCTCTAGTAGAAGTTGCTTGCAAAATATTTCAGTGCAAACCATTTGCTCTGTTAGTGTTCTTTGTGTTTTATTTATGATAATAACATATTAAAAATTTCCTAAAATGGTTGGTGAGGAGCAAATGAGTACACTCCCTCCATTATAAGTTTCCAAACATGGTGACCTTTTTAGTTCCTGCATCAGTTGCTCGATATTGATCACCAAAGGCACGCCTGCCTTCCAATGCATATAGGCTTTGTCCATCCTGACATGACAACAATAGCATTTAGAAAAATGCTCTTGGCTGATAAAGTAGCATCAAGAAACAATAAATACCTGGGATTAACCAGGGACGTTTTTGCAAAGAAAGGGGAAAATTTCTTGTGATAAATCATGAGTTACAAATGAACCGGAAAGCATATTATTACCTTGTCTTCAATTGATTTCCAGAAGATTCGAGTCATTTCATCTCCTGCATCATAAATTATAAATTAAAAAGGGTAAGAAAGAGAGTGAATTTTTATTTCATAGAAAAATCATCAGCGGAAATTGAGTAGTTCAATTTCAATAAATACATCAAATCTCATTCAATGACTAAATTTACGGCATAAAATTCAGAAAGTCTGCAGTTTTTAAGCTCTCAACCAATCAATTGATTCAATTTCAGAAAAATTATGCATTTTTGCAGCTCCCTGCTTTTATCACTCTCAAAGCTGATAAAAAAGAATTCGGTAGGTCTCTTTATTTCTCTTCAACCAATACTCAGTCTATACCAATGTGTTCATATCCATTAAAGAATACAGCACCCCATGGTTTTTCATCCAACCAATTGTCTAAATATCACCAATTAACACACAAATTTTTAAACGTGATTTATATTCTTAAAAGGTCATGAATTTTAATTCGAAAGTTAAGTATATTTGCAACTGTAGATAATATAAGTCAACTCAATCATCCGAAAAATCTTGTAAAATCAATTCATTTTTATAAATAGTCGACCAAGCTATTTCTTCAATTCATTATAGGTTTGAACAATTAAAAACATATGATTTATTTTCATAATTAAAAGTTCTAAAAAAAAAAAAAAAAAACCTATAATTTAAGGAGTTTTTAAAATTTAAAGTTGATAAAATCATATCTAACATAACTATGCCACAAGAAAAATTAAATGAATTGACTATATTATCTATTAAAAAAGATACTTTAACAAAATGTGAATACAATAATCTAATTATTAACTTGAACGTGTTTTTTAAATAAATATTATTAAATATTATTTATATTAATCTATCACATACTAAAAGACCAATTTTATTTTTTTCGCTCAAGATCTCAAATTATATTGAGCCGGCCCTGACCGTAATAATGATTGAAAAGAAAGATGAAAGTAAAGAAAAACTATGACAAGTGTCTCTCTTAATACAAAATTTCCGACCAAAAGACTTTAACTTCTTTTTGGCTAAATAAAAAGAAAAAGTATAGGTAAAGACCTTGAATTTGAGCTTATTTCTATTATGATATTTAAGGCACCAACAGATACATACATATATATACATATACATACATATATAAATACTAGTGGGTGGGTGGCCTTAGCTACTTTTGGATGGGTCTGGACTTTGGAGTCTCTCTTGGCGGATTAAGAGTATCTCCAACCGTTGTGTATATTTTTTTGTGTAAATTTGATGTGTTACAATAGATTTACACAAAAAAATTTAGATTAATTATTTTTAGCTCCAATGGTTATTTTATACCTTTTGTGTAAAAATATATTCTTCAATAATAACTAAAGTGTCATGTCTGGACCCCACATAATTTTTACAAACTTACTTAATATAAGGTTGATTTGTTAGAGCATCTCTAACGGTTTGTTAAAAAACCCTTTTTGTGTAAAATATACACTGCTACATGATTTGTAAATTTTTTTCATTTTCTGTAGTTTGTTAAGATACACTGCCACATCATCAATGTGTAAAAAAGTTGTGTATTTTACACAGCTATGTAAGCATATTTTCTCTCTCTTTCTCCTTTCCCGCTTGGGTTCTCTTTTTTCACTCTCATTCCTTTATGCCTCTTTGTTTCCCACTTTTCTAAAGCGCCATAGAGAAGAATATGTAACTGGCGGCAAGGTAAGAATTGTTCGACTATCTTTTATTTATTTATTTAATAAACATAATTTAATTCATCACTTTTGTTTGATCTTATATTCTACAATCATTGCCATAGATTCTAGGGGTTTTTTAGATTTTTTATCCTTTTACATTCTTTTCTAATAAGATAAATATGTATTACATTCTATTTTAATGAAATAAATATGCACTAGCCATAGATTAGATATACATGTTAATCAAGTAGTTTTTGCATACTTGAATCTTATTTTATTATTTGTTATTAAGTTAGAATTCTGGTGGTTGCCGGAAAGGTGAGAAAGTGAAATACAGGAAGAAATTATTATTTTTTCCTATTCGAAAGAATCCGATCAGGAAGTCTGCAGTTACTCTGTTTGTTGAGCCCTCGAGGGCAAATTTTTTGTCATAATGTTTCGTTATCTAATAAATAGGCAACAAAGAATGTATTGAGTTTAATTGATTACTTCTCTATTTAATATTGAGTAGAATCCACATTTTCTTGTTGAATTAAAAATCTCTATCTTTAAAAGTCAAGTAATTTGAAAGAAATGATAACACAAGCAAACAAAACCCTTTTTTTTTTTTTTTTTTTCATCAAACTAATTTTGATTTTGTGTTGTGAGAGAAAAAAAGATGCCAAGACTAATAAAAAAAAAAAAAAGGGGAGTAGTGTATGCCACATCCCACTGCATATTAAATGTCCACTTTAAAAATTTTGACTCACTATCACTTTTTATTTTTTGATTCATTTATGATCATTTTTATTCATATATCTTTTATATACTTATATATTACCTTAATCCTATATTAAATGTCCACTTCGAGAACTTTGACTCACAAAAATTTTTGTGATTCAAAGTTTTCGAAGTTAACAACTTATATGAGATGCAAGTAGTACATGTTATCCCAATAGTATTTCATGAAATAGATCCGAAAGAGTGAGTATTGGCAAGAACACGATGATGGTATTGAGCATATGCATTCCAATTTAATGAAATCTTTATGACTTTCTATTGCAATTTTGTATTCTAATTCTTAGTTAAAGCTTATAATAATAATAATAAGGGCTAAATCATAAAACTACCGTCTTATTTACAAAAAATTATCATCTAACCCTTCGATTAAAGAAACTATTAGATTACCTCTTAACCTTTTTTTAAAACTATCACATTACCACATTCCGTTAATTGGCCATCTAAAACTAACCGGAGAAAAGCAAGTGAAAATCACGTGCAGGCACAAACCCAAGAATTTTTTTATATTTTCACGCTCCCACTAAAATTATAATTTGCCCCTACTGGATTATTATTATTATTTTTTTTTTTGCATTTTAAATTTCAAATTTTTTAGAATTTTGAAGATGCCCCCATTAAAATTATAATTCGCACCCACCAAGTTTTTTGTTATTTTTTTATTATTATTATTTATTTTTTTTTTGCATTTTATACTTTAAATTTTTAAAAATTTATGAAGAAAACCCTATTGAAATTATAAAAATAAACCCACTATATAAGTTCGCCCCCACAAATTAAAAATTTGCCCCCCTTAAAAAAATTTCTGGATCCGATGACGTGCATACTATTCAAATCGCTCTTGTAAAACACCTTTAGTTTGCACGTGCCCCAATCTAAAGAAAATGTTGCAGCCATCAACATCCACCAAATCCATCTATATTCTTGTCCATCGTCGTCCTCTTCCTTTACTCTCATGGCACACAACACCAAACAACTTCATTGCTTGGTCATTAATCTACATAAATATGCTAGTGTTTGATCATTAATTCACATAAATATATATAGATTGAGTATCTATATATATAAACAACAACTTTCCTTTTATATATATATATATATATATTAATTATATACCCACTCGGTATATAGCTTTAAACAATTTAAAAAAGAAAGAAAAGAATCCATAATAAAAAATTAGGTAAAATGCAAAAAACCCTCCAGAACTATTGGCCAATATGCAACAAACCCCTCCTTAACTACAAAAGTTGCAAGAAAACCCCTAAACTATACATTTTTGTGGCAGGTAGCCGCATCCAGCCAAAAACCCGTTCAATCTCACCGTTAAAATTTCAGGTGACACACAATATACTATTTAATCACTATAATACCCTTATGAAGACGAAAAGACTCTATTACCCCCACCACAACACTCAAACCTCTACTTAACTTCTATTACATCCGAACACAACCTTATCCGTCCGTCTACATAGAGAGAGAGGGAGATATAAAAACGCTGTTCATCATCTTCCTGATAAAAAAAAAATCTTGCGACAGTCGAATTTAACCTTGTTGGACAAACTGAACCAATATATATATACATATATCACTCAGCTCTCCCAGGATCCCTATGTCTATATATATATATATATATAGGACATACTTGTGATTGCTGAGGAATAATCAATCAATCGAAGAGAGAGAACGGAGAGATCGAGCAATGGTAAAAGTCCCTTTCCTGATTACTCTAATTGAGTCCAATTAGAGGGCATTCAAGTTTTGGGTTGCCAGGATAGGAGATCTTGTGGCCGCGCGAATTGATTGACTGAAAGGGACGATGGAGCGATGATGAAGCAGAGGAATCTGTTGCTGGGATCGGAGTGGTGAATGTCGTCTGAAGAGTGGAATTCCCTAATGGGTATATACTACACAATTTACCCATCTGCAATCCTTGATTTTCAAAATTCTTGATGCTGATCAATCCAAACACATTATAACCTGCCCGCACACCCAAACACCACGTCTCTCACACTCTCACTATCTATCTATATATTCACATTTATATATATCGTATCTCCTCAGTCCTCACTGAACCTCCCTCTCACTATTTGTATATATATTTATATATATATATATATACACACACACACATCCATCTCTGCAACTTTTTCGACCAAAAAAAAATAATAATAAATAAAAATAAAAATAATAATAATAATCTATCAAACTTAGCTTAACCCAATTTCCGCCACTCTATATCATCCATCATCTTCATGCCCCACGTTCAAATCAAGCATGTAACTGTGTAAGAAGAATACGTTGTTCAATGCCAAAATCAATTTTTGTGATTAAATTTATATTCTGGTTACATCCTTCTCAAAACACAAAAATCCTTTTTGTTATAAGAAAACAGAACAAAAAGGTTAGGACGAATTGCTCAGGTGAATATAGGAACTGAATGATCAGTTTCATTGTTGGGTTTTGAGAGGGATTGTGGTTGTCCAGTGATGGTGGCTTTTGAGAACTCTGCCTATCATCCATTAACTTCAGAGAAAAAAATAAAAAAATCGTTGTGTGTATAATGTATGTATATATATAGAGAGAGACAACCTTATCTCTACTACTGAGTTGTCACGATTTTATTGGCCTTTGAGATTTTACTTTACAAATCAGCAAGTTTAGTATATAAACCCTTGAAACTGTGTCCTTTTTTATAAGGGCACTATGGTCTTTTGAATTTTCTGCTACCGAAAGGTGAGCTGGCCGGGTAAAATGCAAAAAAAAAATATAATTCAACTTTTTAAGAGTTTTTTTTTTTTTTTTTTTTTTTTTTACCTTAAAAAAATAATAATAAAAAAAAGATAAAAAAAAATAATCATAATTGATTATGAGAATATTATTGATATATATAAACACACGTGTTTATATATAGGTACACGAATCAACGTAGCAATTAGCAGTCCTCATTATGGCAAATATGATGAACCAATCCTAAGGACTTGAGGGCTTGCTTGTGTCGGACAGAGTAGGTATGGAGAATTTATGATTAGAAAAGGGAATTCGTGTAATGTTGTCCTCAGTATTAGCAGCAAATGGGGGTGAGAGATTAATTAAGTGGGTGGTTCACATGTAGGAGAATATTTTTGAAGGCGAGGATTATGGACTATTAACAGTTTCGAGTTTTGGAATAGATGGATGTGACACGAAAGCATAAAACTATTATGTTGCACAGTGAATTTAATAGGAGCCAATTGTCAAATCATAACGTCTTATCGCAAATTGGATATGAGAATTTACATTCGTATTTAGACTTGTGAACCATAAGATACAATACATCCTTACTTAACCACTCATAACCAAATGTGCCTCAAGCAAGTAGCTCTGTTCCATTCCAGGTTGGGGGAAGACCAACAAATCTTCCATTATTCCTTGGTGAGCAAATGATTGAGAGACCAAGGACTCCTCACTTCCTGAAATCAGCTATAGACCAAAAAGGGTGCCGAAGAGCAAAGGCTATAGCAAGGAGTCTCTTAAATTTGGCCAATATGTTGATAAATTTAAGGATAGTAATTTTCAAAATGTATTTTAATAAGATATTTGGTCAAATTTAAGGGAGTCTCAGTTTAATTAGCCCTAAATTTAAAAAGAAGTGGCATTGGGCATATAGCTGGGTCTACAGTCCAACAGATAGAGCAGTCCTATATATAGAGAGAAGTTTGATATGTAATATGACCCACTAACGGAAGAAATGAATTGGGTGTTTCTTAAGTCAACCGAAATCGAAAGAAACCCGCGCGCCAATGTGATTAGCTAACCCCGAAACCCTCGTTGCATCTCTCATTTTCAGAATTTCATAGCTAACTAAACTAAACTAAGTCCAAACAAACAATTCATATCAATCAATGCCAAGTCTTGTATCTTTTTTTCTTCTCCATTTCGATAATCTTTTTCTCTCCCTCCCTCTCTCTGTCTCTCTCCATCTCTCTCTCTCTCTATGTTCCTCCTCCTTGAATGGGTTGCGGCATTTCAACATTCAGACTAGAAGAGGATGGCGGTGTCCACCCTGCCCGACGCAGAATTGGCAATACGCGCATCATTACATCTAATCATCATCATCATCACAATAATAACAAGGCTGCTAATACTACCACAAATACAGACACCAACACCGCCACCAACGACAATGACGGCCGTAAAAGTGCTTGTTCTTACACTACGGCCTACAACGATGCTTGGTCTGTTAGGAATTCGGTGGCACAGGAAGACGAGATCGATATTAATTGTGATGGCGCAACGAAGAAATTGGGTGAGGAAGGGATAAAGAGAGGGATAGTAATAGTGGAGGAGGTGGGAAGAGAGGTTGAAAGAAAAACAGAGGCGGCTGTGGAGGGAGAGCACAGCCACCATGAATTTGCAGTTGAAGGAGGTCATGAGGAACACAATAATGGAAGATTCTCAGATTATTCGGATGGTCCGACTTTTATGCGATCTCCGAGCTTTAGGGACTATTGCATTGTTTATGACATAGATGACGATAAGGATGATGATGGTATGTATGTATTTCCATTTCAGTATTTTCTTGGAGAAACACACACATCAGTTTAAAGGATTACTATTATTCAAAAGAAAATAAAATTCAATGAAATCGTAACAATAAAAACATAGTAGCGCCATATGGAGTACTCAACTCACCCCTATCTGATTGTGCAGCTAATTTTGTTGGAGAAAACGAAGTGAAGGGCACACAGATGAAGGCAGGCATTCCACCTCTGGGCTCAAATCGGGTATATATTTACATATATGTTTTTTTATTCTTCTTGTTGCTTTAATTCTTGTTTATGTACTTGCACATTTAGTTTATCTAACACTTGATCAATTCATGTTCTTTATTTATTGTTGATCATGCTAAGTAGTTTTGTGTCTAGCAGGGTTCAACAACGCAATTGGTGAAAAAAGGGAGGAAAGGAAGAAGATTGAAGGTCTTCCCGGCGGGCAAGTCAGCCGCTGTGAAAAATCTTTTGAATGTCACAACTTGCTACAGTCCCAGTAATTCCTCGGCGTATAACACGCCTGGAAAACCAGTTGAGAAATCCGCATGAAACTATTGGTGTTCAAAAGAGAGAAGACAATATATTTTCCTCCTTTCCTACTTGTTTCAGAAAATGCCTCTTCTTCTCTCAAAGGAAAGGAATGTGTATGATATCATCTAGATTTAGATTTTTAAGACATCATCTAGATGTTCTCTCAATTTTGCTGATATTTTTGTTGTCTATGATGTTGGGATCTGATATGCAAAAATACAATTTTGCTAAATTTTTCAGATCCCCACTACAATGAAAATTGACAAAACATTATTTTTTTCTTGTCTTCGTAGAGCCATGCTTAAAAAGATTGACATTTAGCGATTACCAAAAATGAAAGTTTTACATCACCTTCACATAAATTTGTATGGACTTTGGTTCTTTACAAAAGTATGGAACATACCACATACAACTGTTTGGGAAATGGTAGAACTAGTCTCACTATTGGCTGATCATAGACAGTCTAGCTCACTAAAAACAGAGGCTTCTGTAAATGATAGCTCTTTTCGTACGTTCTTCGAAACACGCTTCTTGTGACCAATTAAGAAATTCTACATTCCAACAATATGTCTCCATTTTCTCTATTATCTCGATCTCTATTTATTGTAGTCCATTTTCTTTATTATCTCAATTTTTATGAGGAGATGTAGGGACTCACCTTTGATGGGGCAAATAATTAAAGTTCAAATGTAGGGACTTCAGAATCGAACCCATGCGTGGCCTGGTAAATTAACCGGGGAAATATATTCCTATATGGATCCTTCTCTCGTTTCTCCTTCAAATACGCAATGCATTTCTCAACTTCAGACTGGACTTCTAAATATAGTTCATGTGCTTTTTCCCTGCTCCTTAATTCCTGCTTCCTCCCTTAACCACAAAATAAAAGCTGAATTAAAATTGAAGAAGATGCCAAACACTAAAAATAAAAAATAATAAAATGGATATATATATAAGTATATATGCATATATGTACAGCATACAAATCCAACTGGATGGTGTTATTCAAGCAGGATCTTAAAGTTGCTTTCTAGGCTACTCTAGACCCTCTATGTGACTGTTAACCACCATCTACTAACAGAAGGTGTAACTTAAGTATATATATTCTCTCTCTAATAGTGACCAACAATTTAAAAGGCATCATCAAATTCCCTGCTGAGAGTGGATTTAAAATTTATTGTATACATAGAAAATTACCAGCCAGGTTTATTAAATTAATGTTGCTCTGCAGCAAACTGCGAGTGGAAACACACTGACTGGTATTGATAATAAATGTGGCATTATACTTGCGTATAGAAAACTAAGAGGACAACCTGGTTTGGGTTGGTTTGGACTAGTCCAACCTAGAAGCAAACCAACAAATCTCGATTGTTAAAAGTTTGACATGCCAAAATAATAATGAAGAAGAAAAAGAGCTGTTCGACACAACAGAATGATAAGTGAGAATCATACCAAACCAACCTGGGAGAAGTACCATTGAACCAACTCAGTTTTCAGTTGAATGGACAATATGCTGTTATCGGGGAGGGGGAAGCAAGAATACAGGACTAAAATGTAGAAATTCCATCTCTGATCGAAAGATATAATTACAAAAGGAACTTGACACAATTATAAATACAATAACAAGTATTAGTCTACCAGTTGGTTTGTGTGGTAGAGTCAGTTTACATGTCAGGTAACTAAGAGCAAAGACTTACCTTGCTCCATTGTCCACTTATAAACCCAGTACTGGATTTGTAAACTTTGAAAATCGAAACAAACTAACCTGGAGAGGGTAGATTGATTCAATTCCCAGGTTAAATGGGACAGAATTGTACCCCCACCCACCCACACCCTCACACACACAATAGCAATACATGGGTAGTTTTTCATTCTAAATCACAATATTAATTTATTTTAGCACATAGCTTTGAGAATATCCTAAGATGGGGCAAGCATTATTCTAAAACATATTTATGATGCTAGATAGACAAAAATAATATCAGGTCAGTTAATAAACTACCTTCTGTTTCAATTGGCTTTCCGAAGTAGAAATAAAAGCGGCCTGGAGGTTTTGGTAGAATTATTGGAAGATGTACATCTTGGTTCGCGACCTCTCCACCAATGTCAGTCCTTCAAACCCAAGTTGTGATGAAATATAAATAAGAACCCAGCAAGTGAATATGAAACATTAAGAACAAAAATGAATATAAGCATAGTAACATGAAACCCATACAGTATAATTTAATTTGATGTGAAAATAGAGTATTTATCATTCAGGCAATATGTGACTGGAATAACGAAATGACTCGATCAATAGCAATAAGCTAAATATACGTAACAGTTGATTTAGTAACATCATAATCGCTTCATTCTCCATCACTCCAATTTACTACTAAATAGATAGATTTGGTAGTCAAGATCAATCATGATAAAGCATGACGACATGAGAAAAGATGAGGAGAGGCTAGAACTTAAAAGAGTATGATGCCATAAACAATGAGCTACTTTTTAAGCATGTGTTGTTATTTATTGTCATATGTGGTCCCCATTGTGGCCATGTGACCAGAATAGATGCTAGATGCAAGAATTAAGAACTAGTAGCTCTAATTAAAGAAATATTTGAATACCAAAGACGGTGTAGCCTAATGGTACTTCCTTGTCTTCCAAAAGAGAAGGGCAAGGGTTCAAGTCCCCGTAGGGGCATTGTAGCTGTGTTAGTAATAAATAATAAAAATAACAGTTCCGGTTAATTATGTTTATTGATGGGCAAATTTTTTTTTTTCCCCTCAGAAATTCAAGCTATTTGTATAGGTAGTAAATATTTACAGTGTTGGGCATGTGAATATGCTCAGCAGGCCAAATAACAAGCCCGGTGGCTTAAGACGATGGACAAATATTTGATAGTGTGTATTTAGTAAGCATATGGATTGAATCACTTTTGAGATTCATTATTACCTTTTTGGTGATTTAGGACATCATGCAAATAACAACAATTGTCTAGAATGGTTTTAAAATTTCTGTTGTTTGAAGAGCAACAAGGAAAACAGGTGTAGAACTTGAGCCACCATGTCCGTTTAAAATGACCTTACTTCCACACATTTCTCCCAATTTTTCTTTCTCATCTATATTTCCTAATTTACGACCGATTATTTCAGCATAAATACAACCTTAATTCACTACCAGCACATAGTTTAGTATTACCTGTGATTTATAATCACAATCTTTCCCCTTTAGATACTCTGTCAACATAAATGAGTTTTCCTTTAATTCTATTTATTTATTTGTTGTAAATTTCAGCAGAGATGCATAGCAGTGCAAGCTATTAGAAAAGCTTTGAATCAAAAGAGTAAGGAGAAATGCAAGTATAATCTATAACTACTGTTACAAAATCTCATACACCAAAAACCAACCAAAAAGAAAGCAATATGAAATTGTCAAGATACCTCAATTTCACACTTTCTTCTGTTAGGTCATTTATTTCGGCCTTAAAATAAGGGATCTTCATTAGATCATCATAATCCAAAAATAACTGATCAATAAAGGAAAACACAATCAATGATTCATTAGAATCAAATACCAGTAACAGAAAATGTAATATGGAAACAAGTAAGCCACAGACGGTACCTACTCCTTCAATCGGAATTTAAGATGACATAAATTCTGAGAAATATATAATAAAGAATGAAAATACATGCACACAGTAATTCAATCCAAAAGTTCCTCAAGAATAATAACTAGAAAAAAAATATATGCACACTGTAGTAAAAAAATCAAACAGTGCAACAACTAAGATTTAATTGGATGAAAATGATACTGAGATTGAAGAAGACAAAGAAGCAAGCAAGGCAAAAGTGGAGAAGCCTAAGGAAATAATCAGCACCTCGTCTGAAGTTGAAGAAGCTATCACCATTCAACATGGGTATCATGGATTTGAGAATTAAAAATAACGAATCTGAATCATTCTTGTCTTGGGAAAAATTAATGGTGCTTTGGAAAGTGTCTTGGGAAAAAGTCGGAGCCATTCTTGTTTTTGGGTACTTAGGGAAGTAGTACAATGTTATCAATGCTGTGTGGGTAGCTTAAAAGTCAGTCTAGTGAAGTGAAGTGGCATTAATAGTTGTATTATAAAAGGGTCAGCCCTCATTATGTGCTGGGACCAAGTTTCTATCAATATACTTTGAGATATTATCATATTCAAAACTTTTCTCCAGGCTTTCCCAAATTTTCCTTTAGAAATCTAGGCTCCAACGGTGATTGGAGTAACCCTAGTCTTTCTGACTGCAGTAAGAAGACTGCTGTGTTTTTTTCTGCTTGCTTCACTTGGTCAGACCAATCCAACCGGCAATTTCCAACTAGTCTTTCTTATTTTTTTGGAGCAACAAGCAAAATTACAAGAAAGCTATGCTCTTGTTTGTGGCCTTCCTTCTCTTCGGGCTTACTAGATTAGTCACAATAGTCCTTATAAGTAAACTACAGCCTCGTTATTAATTGACTCCCTACTTCAACTAAAGCTCACCCCACACCGCACCAATCTACAGCAGGAGCTTATGGATAAGTAGCTTCCCCTTTCTATTCGGAAAAAGAACTTAACTTCAGATTGAAGAGAAGGAAAAAAGAAGCAGCTTTGGCTTCCTTCAATTAAAGATATATGCTTTCAATTCAGCCTTTTCATTGCATCCTTAACTTGAGTGAACTCATAACTAGAATACCAGTAAACATTACTTTCATTTGATAAAGAAAATGGTAGCAACACCCACAGGCCAGTGGCCTAGTGGTATTAGGCCCCTACTTCCCAAAGGGAGGTCAGGGGTTCAAGCCTCAGTGGAGGCATGCGTGTGTGAGTACCAACTAAGAAAAAAAAATTGGTAGCAAGCCACACGGAGAAGAAAAAAGCTTCCATGGTGTCTCCATATAGACATTGATTGCGTCTGGAAGTAGAACTTTTTACCTTGTAAGTAAATAGGCATGTTTCAATGCAAGCTTTTATGAGTCCGTATTACTTTGACCGTTCCAATTCAGATACCATCACCATCCAAACCCAGTTTCAGACTTCCAGCATTCAATTTCAGATTTTATAACTCAATTTTCAATGGTTCATAATGTGGGTACAAGTGTGATGTGTATGACTTTACATTCATGTGACTACCTCTCATTAACTAAAATGATCGGATGAAATTTCTGGTTCTCTATTACTAGTAAAGGAATCTTCTCTCAAAAGTTACATGTCCTCTGCAAGAATCACACTTCTTTTAGTTTCTCACTTTTTCACATTCCAAGACCAAACTGCTTAAGTACCCAATTGCATGCTGTCCCTAAAACAAGAGATTAAGGATCCCTTTTGGAATGATTCAAGTCATTCATGGTATCAAAATTAGAATTAGATTTAAATGAAATTAAAAGAGATCATGCCCCCTAAGGACATTAATGATTGTATGCAGTGAAATTAACAATTGAAAAGGAAGGCAGCAATTGAGGAAATTGAAATCTTCAGGCTTACTTCACCAACATCATCTTCTCCAACAGCACCAAAAGGTATAATTTTGGCTCCAAACCTAGCAGCCATCCTGACAAACTCAGATTGCTCTGGCCAGAATAACTTGTATTCTTCCCCCTGGAAATAAAGAGGTGAATATTTCAAAACCACTCCAAAATTTTAAGTTCAAAGAGCTGAAATGTGTATGAGAGTAAACATATAAATAACTAAAGAAGTGATAGAAGAAATGCATATGACTATACCTGCTTAAAGAAAAAGCAAATTGTCTCCAATAACAATTTTTTTTTTTTACAAGTTCTCACAATAACACTCTTGTTGCATTTGGGATCACCGAATCGGCACTCCCAAACATAGCATCAAGTTAAAGAATTTTGGGAAAATTTTGTAAAATTAAAGTCGTAAAGGGGAATTCATCATAAATCAGAAGTCTGCCATTAGTTAGTCCAAAGATTTTCCCCATATAGTTTGGGAAAAAGTAAGGTGACGATCACTTCATTACTTTTTGGTCTTCCAAATGATCTACGAGGCAAGCAGATGAGCACTAGCATGAAAGAGTCGCATAGTAATATAAATCAGTAATTATTACCTTGCGATGAAGAGCCTCACGCATGCCCCCTGGATATAGTAGGACATGGGACTTTGAAGAAAGAAGTTTAAAAATATTAGTTCCTGATACAGGAACTGCACCCATAATTCTGTATGCATCATATGTTGATAAATCAGGTAATTTTCCATCTCTCAATTTTGTGAACATCATTGGATGAGCTATCCCTCTTACAACAATATTCTTTTCAATCCAAAAACGGGATACCAAAGGAACCAATTCCCACCCTAGCAGCATGTGATAGCCAACAAATAACACAGGTCCTTCAGAAGGAATCCCTGCAAGGCCCCGCACGATCTTCTCATTCTCTAAAGTAGAGAGCATCACAGGACCAGTAGCCACATCAAGCCATCTGAATTTCATCAGAATTGTGAGCCCATATTAAACTATCTGTTGGTAATTTTCTTTACAATGCAATTGATCAAAGAAACTCGTGTAAAGAAAATGGCTGGAAACTATCAAGAAGCAACGGACATTGTCTACCACTGACATAGTGCATCACTCTAATTATTTTCCTTTATCATTTGTACAAATAAAACTTTTGATTGCATGACAAGTATTATATAACTGAGATGATAAAGTTTGATTGACCACCATATATCATGTTTCACATATGTGCATGTTCAGTGTGATAGGCACTGATAGACAAACGAAGCACCAAAAGATCTTCATTGTTAATAGAATATATTGCAAAAAACTCCCTTTATAAAAAATTTGCAAAAAGCTTCGAACTAATAACCTTGAATTAACTCAAATTATTGCAATTACCCACTGCCAGTACTTTACTGTTTAAAAACTAACAGAAACCAAGTCATCTGTGACAGGAGGCCTATTTTCTTCTATGACTATTTTTCCCTTCTCTCATTTTTATGACCATTTTTCACTCATTTTCCTTCTTATACTACTTATGATTTAAATCAAAAGTAATTGGGAAAAGGTTTGGTTGTGGTTGTTGTGTTGTATCAAAAGTAAAACTCTCTCTCCCTCCCTCTCTCTCTCTCTCTCTCTAAGAAAAACTGATACTAAAAAATGGATCTAAGTTTCCAACAGCTCTCTCTCTCTCTCTAATACTAATTCTGATAGTAAAAGAAAGGATATAAGTTTCTATCACCTCTGGTGCATGCATACAAACATAAACAATATTGAAACAAACACAAACACACAAATATAATACATAAATCTTTGCTTCTCATGATTAACTCAATTTCTAGCCTAACTAAACCTCTCTCTCTCTCTCTCTGTGGGTTTGGGAAAACAACTTTGATATTTTAGGTATTGGTGAGCATTAAAAGTTTCTAACACTGATTTAGAGGTTCAGATTTGTTGAAGTATTTTTGGCACATTTAGCTGATGATATGATGGATTATATACGATGAGGTAAGAAACTAAGAGCGTGGATTTGAAGTGGTTTCAGTGGTCGTAAAGGCCCCATGTTTTTCCAGTTAATTTTATCTCATGTTATGGTTGTTAGAGATGGAAAATTAAAAAGAAAGTACCGACTCTGCTGGCATAGGGAGGAAATCGAATATCATAAAGCATGAACAAGCATGTGAATTTATTTTCAGATAATTTGAATTGGGAAAAAGTTAAACATTTCTCTCTGTTAATCACATATGAGTCCCAAAAGTTGCAGAAAAAACCTCACCTTTAAAATGGAGAAAAGTTTTGCAACTCAAGCAGCTGGTGATGACCATGGTAGATCATGTCAGCTATATTGTTAACTTTTAGAATTAGAGAATGCATCACAATATATATATATATATATATATATACACACATTTTTATTTCACCTTTGTTAAAAACACATTCGCCCACTTTTGCCCCTATGGGGGACTTGAACCCTCGACCTTCTACTTTGGAAGGTGAGGAAGTACCACTAGGCTACACAACCCTTCTTATATATACACACATATTTACCGTTAGTTTTCAGATGTAAATGGAGTGAAGAAGAAAAGAAGTGGAAACTGGATTTCTTCTTTTCAAATATACTTGGCAAGTGGCATAGTTTTATTGGCTAAAATCAACTATAAAAATAAATAAATAAACTTAACAAAACGATGTCGCTTTACTGTGAGCAAACAAGAATTTCCATCACATGTAATGGCGATCTAACGGCCATCTTATGTGAAGGACTCATTTGCAAGTTTTTTATGGTTTGGGGGTTTCTTGCAATGTCAAGGGGTGTTTGCAAAACTTTTATAATAGAGGATTTTACTATTATAGCAAAAGAATTTATTTGATCCATGAGTGCCACAAAATATCATTTATTTTCTGTTGGCTTATGTGAATATTAGTTACCTATAAGGTTCATATATTTGCTTGAATTCAGAAGGGCCAGGTGGGACGTAATCTGAGACATAGTCAAGATATCTTGCATGACGATAGAAGCCAGCACCCTTTATTGTAGTCACCAAATCAAAACCATCTTCCTGTTACATAAGTGAAAGAAATACCATACATATCAAAAACAGATTTTGTTAAATGATCTCAAGTGAAATATATATTATTCATAACTCAAAAAAATAATCCAATGACGGGGAATTGATTTATAAATTGATAGCAAGTCAACATTAGCAATCAACTACTATGTAAGAGACAAATGGTAATGAGGACCATTATTTTATAAATTTAACAAAATACTGAATAACATATAAATATATATATATATATAAACTAACACATGCTAATTAATGACCATTAACATAGATAACACTAGAAATGTTCCAAGTGAAATACCAACCAACATAATTGAGCATATTGTTGTAATAGTATAAATAAATTTGTGGTGATGAATGTTTTAGTAATTGTACAAGAGCATTCCATTTGCTCACTACATGGCTTATTTCCATTTTCAGACATAAGGTTGCAAGCATGAAAGAAAGGACTCAAGCAGTTAGATGTTTACCATCAGTTAGATAAAGTATATCGGAAGCAACAAAGAGATCCTCACTAGATGTGAAAACATAGTTAACTGTTTCTTAACACAATAGTACATTTTAATCTATTTCCTCCTTAGATGAGGATTTAATCTTTTTTCCCTTTGCTGCTACAATAAGGCCTTAAAACTGGCATTAACCTGGTAAACAGGATTTTTTTTGTTTTTTTTTTATATGCATAGGCTTTTTTTCCTACTCAATTCTCGATTAGTGTTTTTCCCTAGGGCCTTTATGTTTTACATTTAGTTGTCAAATTCAAGACCAAATTTGAAAACAAGAAGAAAATGATTTTAAGTTATTTTTCAGATTTCCACTTAGGCCTCAGTAAGTGCAGTATCTTTACCAAGTTGGTTCCTAGGCAGGTAGAATGGGAGAAGGGAAGGTGGGGGGATTCATCTTACCAAGAAGAGGAAATGACCACTGTTATTAAACTTACGAATCTGACAATTTGGCAGCAGTTGACGAAGTCTCTCACCTTCCTCCAGACTTGGTAGCAACTGATCCCTCCCACTATAAAGACAAAACAGAATTACAACCCATCAATATGGAAAGCAATATAAATAAATAAATCATAACAAACATGGCATTGATGTTGATTATAAAAGTTCAAGCATAAAAAAGGAAGGGGGGAACACTAGATATGTTATAAAACTCCTTTGGCATCTCACCATTTATAAACAAAAAGCAATACATTTTACAACGGAAACTGATAAGAGATCATCATTTCATCAAAAAGAATTTGACAAAAGGATATGACACCACTGTAGAAACATATATAGAGGTGAACAGAAGGTGTATTTCCTGCCTATGCAAGCTGCTAGCAGACTGGAGACAAACCTAACGATTGGCACAACTTTACACAAAGTTGCTGCTCTGAGACTCAAACCAGCGACAGCAACAATCAATTTACAACAATGGTGGTGATGAAAAAGATTGTATAAAAATTGCTGCCATAGTAATATTGTTGTGAAAGGGAGTGGCTCAAGAATTAATAAGCTCTTCAAGAGAATAAGTTTTCTCACTAGCAGTCATGGATTGGGTTGGCTCTGTTCTCTTACATAAACCCTTCGGTTTTCATCAGAATTTCCCAGTAACACAGAGTAATCACATATTGCATGCTTATGAGAATTCCCCGCATTCTCCTCTGTTGAACTCAACAGTGACACCAATAAGATTGACTTCATTCTAAAAAGCTGCCAGTTAAGAGGAAGATGCTAATTGAGCTGTAAATCATTCACAATATTCAAAAAGCAGATTCCTGAGTTATTTTTTGAATTGCATCTACTCTGATCAATTTTATAAACCCTGATAGTTGTTGAGTTTGAACTTTTCCACAATTAGTTCCTTAGAATATTCATTTTACACAAATAATCAGAACAGGATGGGCAGGATGTGCAGGAGAGACGGGACCTGGAAAGTATCAGCGTCTGAGCTTTGACGGCATGGAGACGTGAATTGACAAATGCTGAAGCTGATTTAAGCATCTGCAGCTTCCAGAGAAGCGTCTCTCTAGGTAAAATATCATCCAGAACCTGCAACCTTAATCATCAATTATTTTCACAAAAATGACAACATAGACAAAGAATATAAAATTCAAGTATCAGATGAAAGAACATGAACCAAAATTGTTAAATAACATAGAATGATAAGTCATATTCATGTTGAGGACAATGGAAATTAAATTCTGATTATTTAGAGATGGGACAAGTCTTTTGCATCTGTAAACATGAAGAAACTATCAAAAAGAAAAAAAGAAAAAGAAATTCCAAGAACAGAGTACTTGATCTTTCGGAGGATAAAAAACTTTTCATAATTCACTTATCTACTCAAGTTCAAGAATTGAATCTTACAGAAACGTAAGACGACATTGCTAACACACCCTGTGATAGCTCTCCAAATGTTTGTTGCGGAGCCAGTCCTTTCTCCATGGTCGCCCTCACCATCTTTAAAGGATCGCCTGAATATAGATATAACAATTGCTGGTATCATTTGGAAACAACTAAATGCATTGCAAATATGCAACAACAAATGCATGTTTAGTTTAGATTTATCCACACACACACACACACAAGAAAGTTAATTTAACTCAACAAATCCCTCTTTTCTAACTACCTCGAGTCGGCTACATGAATCCTATTTTTCCATTCTCTATCCAATGCCATAGTCTTAGTTAAACCACATGCTATCATATCCTTCCTTACTCTATCTACATTGACTTTGTTCTTACCCTTTCCTTAGTATTACCTTGAATGTGAACCATGCCACTCTTCTTAACTGGCACACTTAGTAGTCTTCTTTACACACGACTAAACCATCTTAATCAATTCTCTCTCATTTTATCTCCAATTGGTGTTACTCCAACTATCTCACAAATGTTCATTTCTAGTTCAATCATTTCTTATCTTCCCGCAAATCCATCTTAGTATTCGCATTTCCGCCACACGTGTTGTTTCTTAGTTGCCCAACATTTTGTCCCATAAAGAACAATTGATCAAATAAATGTTTTATAAAAAAAATCCTCCAATCTTAAGAGGGGTACGCTGATCATACAAAAATAATAGATGCACTCCCCCATTTTACCAACCCTGTCTGGATTTTATGATTAATATCATCTCCAATTTCTCTCATGACCCTCAAATCTCAATCTTCAATGCATCTCCCAACATTTTGTCCCATAAAGATCAATTGATCAAATAACTGTTTTATAAAAAATTTCTTCCAATCTTAAGAGGGGTACACTGATCGTACAAAATAATAGATGCACTCCCCCATTTTACCCACCCTGTCTGGAATTTATGATTAATTTCATGTCCAATTGCTCTCATGACCCTCAATCCCCAATGCATCTCTATTTGTAGTTTTATTCCTACTTATTTTAAAACCTTTTCATTCTATTAATTCTAGAGTTTCCCATCAAACCTCCAATTCAGCACTTAGTTCTTCTCTAGTTTCATCAATTAAAACAATATCGTCAGCAGATAGCATACATCGTGAAATCTCATCCAGAATGTGTGATTTAGGACAGAATTCTGAACAGTTCGATAAGTCCGTTTTTTACCCGAATGGAGTGTTTTTTGGGTGGAAACTACGTTTTGATAAAAACCCACTAGCTTTAGCTTGTTAGCCATGTTGTTTTTCAGCTGAAAATCTTCGTTTAGGACTCTGAAATCGCGTTTTATTGTCTTATAGGAAGCCTGCTAATTATTTCGGGATTTTTTGTTCAAGGCCTTAATGAAGTCGGAATGCTCCTAAGATTTTATATCTACAAGTTTTTATTGATTATGTTTTGTTTTCTATTTTTTTCAGAATTTTTAGAAAGAGAATTTATATTTAGGGGTATTTCTAGGATTAGTTTCCTTCTTGTGTTAGGTTTTCTCTATTATAAATATACATGTACTGCAAGAGCAGAATTTAACCTTTGATTAATAATATTTCAATTGCTTTGTAATTTTTCTACTTTGTGGATTCAAGGTAACCCATGTTCCTTGTGAACGATTTTATTGCTACCGCTTACGTCAGTTGGTATCAGAGCCATGAGTTGCCCTAGGCTGATGACGATTGCTCATTTTAGTAGCACCCACTTTGCTGACGATGATTGCAGAATGAAGGCCCCTTGGGCAACCATACATACTCAAGAACGGTTCATAGCAACTGGTTTTGGGATTGGTAGCAACCAAATTCGCAGTTCAGTTCGAGTTCGCGCTGAGACATGGGTTATGTTCCTGTATATCCACGTAGACCTCCAGCCTATGCGGATTATCCTGATGATTCTTTCGATGATGGGGAGTTCGGGTTCAGTGATCGAGGTAGACACAACAGTCGTGAATTTCAGGTAAAACTTAATCTACTTACTTTCTATTGAAGTTTCATTATTGAAGATGTCTTGGACTGGCTTGAAGAAGTTGAAGAATTTTTTGAGTATTTTGATGTACCTGAAAACAAGCAAGTTCCACTTGTTGCCTTCAAGCTTAAAGGATGTGCTTCAATTTGATGGGAACAAATACAATTTTATTGAAAAAGGCAAGGATCACAACCTATTCGGTCGTAATATAAGATGAAAATAATGTTCATAGCTAAACTTCTACCAAATTATGAGGAAATAATGTATCAAAAATATCGGAATTGTTGAAAAGTCAAAAAGTCTACAGAGAAAATTTACAAGAAAGATAGTGGCATCAAGAATAATAACAATTTTGTTGAAGTAACGACTATTATTGAGGTTAATCAAGAGCAAAATTATGTTGGTTCACCTATTGTAGTCGAAGAAAACGAAGTCAATGATGTGAAAACATTACTTCCTTTGCACAAGTTGGTAGATCTTTAGCACGACAAAAGAAGAATATGGTGACAAGAAGTTCGATGCAAAAATTGAGCAACAAGAATTAATTGATGATCAGCGGGTTAATGTTTTTTCCAAATCAGATGTCCAAGATGGTATGGAAGAAATCGGGCTTCAAATTGGTGAAGTGTCATTATTTGAGGAGATTGTTAATGAAGAATTATTTATTCCGGAAGGTGCCAATGAAAATATTGTGGTGTTGTGCTTTGGAGGTTCTCAAGAAAATGAACAGTATGATTTTGTGCTAGGTGAGACTTCACGTTATCTGCAGCGAAACTCGAGGACGAGTTTTTTTTAAGTGGAGGGGATTGATATAGGACAGAATTCTAAACAGTTCGATAAGTCCATTTTTTACCCGAATGGAGTGTTTTTTGGGTGGAAACTACGCATTTAGAAAAACCCACTAGCTTTAACTTGTGGGCCATATTGGTTTTTGGCTGAAAATATTCGTTTATGGCTTTGAAATCGCGTTTTATTGTCTTATAGGAGGCTATTATTTTAAGATTTTTGTTCGAGGCCTTAACGAAGTCGGAATGCTCTAAGATTTTATATTTACTAGTTTTTATTGATTACGTTTCGTTTTCTATATTTTTTCAGAATTTTTAGAAAGAAGTTATTTTTAGGCTTATTTCTAGGATTAGTTTCCATATATTTTTAGTTTCCTTCTAGTGTTATAAATATACATGTACTGCAAGAGCAAAATTTAACCTTTGATTAATAATATTTCAATTACTTTGCAATTTTTCTACTTTGTGGATTCAAAGTACCCTACTTTGTGGATTCAAAGTAACCCATGTTCCTTGTGAACGATTTTATCGCTTCCAATACGTCAAAGTGTCTTGTCAGTCCATCCATAACTAAGGCAAAAATACACGAGCTTAATGATGACCCTTAATGTAGGCCTACAATAATTGAAAAACCACTTGTTTCTCTCACAGTCATCCTAACTATAGTCACATATTCATCATACATGTCCTTTATTGCATCGATGCATCACTTTGTGGCTCCTTTTATTAGCCATCCATTTTCAATCTTTAGGTACCCTGTTATAGGCTTCTCTAAATCGATAAAACCATATGATCTTTCTTCTTCTCTCTGTATCTTTTCTTTAGTCTCCACAACAAATAAATAGCCTCCATCATAGACATCCCTGGCATGAATCCAAATTTATTTTCCAATACAACAGTTTCCTGTCTTAATTGTTGTTTAATCACTCTCTTCCAAAGTTTCATAGTATGACCAATTAATTTAATACCATGATAATTATTACAAGTATGTATGTCCAGTTTAGTTTTATAGATGGTTATTAAAACACTATTGTGCCACTTATAAGTCATTCTCTTAGTTGTGATTATCTTATTACTTGAAACCAAAACAAAGAAACATGCTCTTAGATGTAATATGATAATGGTCTCACCTACAAAAATAAATAAATAAATAATGGTCTCTTCAAAAGGTTATTTATGCAAGTGTGATGGTAAAACTCATCTTTAAGTGTTTGGACAACAGAACCACATAAACATAGAGATCCAATAAATCACAAATAATAAGAGATTGCACATATATACAAGACTTAATGTGGTTCGGCACATCGGTCTATGTCCACAAATGAGAAGAGATTCCACTCCCATCAAGTAGAGAAAATTGCAAAGGTAAAGTATACACAAACTACTGCCCCAGGTATGGTGACTGATAACTCAGCCTTTCACATGTGCCATTCCACGAGACTCCCTCTCACCATTGGTCTTCTATCCACTCTACTAACCCATACACCACATCTCTACAGCCAAGTGAGGTAGAGGAACAGAGAACCTCAATTACCCAACTACTCTCATGATGTTACATCTCCTTCACTCTCATAAGTCTTAAACCAAAACCTACGCATCTATTTATACAATCCTAAAACCAATTCCTTGTTGGATGAGAATTACAATTCAAGTTGCCCAAGTATACCCCCAACAAGAATTTTCAAAAATAAAATGCAACTCTAATAGAAAACTAATTGCAATAGGAATTTCAATACAGAATACCCAACACAAATGAAATTAACTTCAAAAGCTTCAAAAATAATTATCATAACTGTAAGCCCAAAAAAAAAAATCAATAATAAACAGCTACCAAAGTACTGTTTACTGCTTTCCTACATTAATTTTGGTAGTAAAGCCTGTAAGAGAGGGTTTTTTTCACTTGTCTTGCATAATCAGTTGGACACTTTAGGACGGCCCAGGCTAGATGTATTGCCATTTTCCAGTTGTAACAGTAGGTAATAATATATTGAAGCAAATAGCAAAAGCAGGTCGAAATTATGGAGACCAAGGAAATCAAACCTGCCATTAAACTCAGCATATAACGCAGGCTAACTTGGGGCTGCAGCTGCTCAGGCATGATTGTAAATAAAGGTATTAGAGGTTGTATCTGAGACTTGTCGAAGCACGAAGCTGCAAAAAACATATTGTGCAAAAGGATCATGAAAGTTAAGAAATCATTCAATGTCTAAACTCCCATCAAAATGATATTTGATAAAAATAATTAAATAAATAAAAACTTTTCACCTGGGTTAGCCAAAATTAGTATAAGATCTATATCAGGGTTACATGCAGCAACAGCTAGTGCCATGCAGCCCCCTAAAGATTCTCCAACAAGATATATGGGTCTGTTAGGTGAGCGGTAATTCTCTGACTTTACTGTTCTTTCGACCAGCTTCACCAGGTCTTAACCATAAGAAGTTGAAAGATAGATTAGCATTATTTATCCCAGTTAACACCAAAAAGTAACAGATACAAACCTGGCTATCATGCATGTTCAAAGAATTATTTGAGGTGCATTTGGATGTCCCTAGTATTTTAAATGGGCCCCTCCCCATTTTCCAAATAAATTGACTATATAGAATGGAGAAATTAGAGAAAATGCAAGACTTCCATCCAACTGTGTGGATCATTTTTAGGTTTTTTGTTTTTTTCTTGAAATGGCAGTGTTTCAAAAGTTTTTCGTAGTTAGATGGTTTCCATATTCCCTGTTGGCTCTTTTCTATTCCATGTGATGGATTTCTATTAATGCTATGCAGTTGGGTGATTCAATTTCCGTGGGATGTCCAAATGCAACAGAAGTTTCTCAATTGTTAATGAAGTCGTCTTTTTTATTGCACCAGGTAACATATCATTTTTAGTGCTCGCTACAGTACGAAATGAGGGAGAGAGAGAGACCTGCAAATGTCGTTCGATCCAACACCGGAATATGCAAGCACCATATATCAAAGATCCTTCATTTAAGAGAAAATTTATGATTTAGTCAGCATAATGAATTATATTAAAGAACAATGTTTACACATAACAAGAGCCTAGAGGCAGATAGTATCCATAAGCTTGAAACTAGAGGCGGAGTATACGGAAAGGGATTTGAGAGAATGTAAATCAGCTAATGCTTACTCTCCTAGTCTTTGATGATGTGAAATAAGTCCAAGTCCAACACCATCAATTCCTGCAACATTAAAAATGAATAAAAGTAAGTATTGAACTTAATGTGCAAGATTAGTAATTGAAAAGAACAAGAAGCTAAAGAATATATGAAATCCAGTGATATTTCACAATCCAATTGTTTTGAGTATGTAAGTATATAAATTACACACATGATTCGTGTATATATGTGTACTTTAGAAATCATATAATAAACTTGTAGAAACATTGGTTCATCCGAGCAATTTTAATTTTTTCCATTTGGTAAACAACACTAGCTTTTTACTAATAGAAACCAAAGACCTTTTTCCGTTACCAACCAAAAAAAACAAAGAAACTTTTTTGTTAAATGATTGCTTATATATATCGATGCGGAAATAAAAGCTCAACCATTTCAAGTAGTAAAAGGGTACTCGGACTCACTTTAAAAAAGAAAGAATGAAAAAATAAATAAATAAAAAACCATTTAGCTTGTTTTCTCTTTAATAGTTTCCATTTACTGATTGGTTTGACGAAATAGTGAAAAGAAAATATTGTGGATCGAGAAAAAGGAAAAAATTGAGCTGACCGGGAAGAAATAGGAGGAGAGGAGAGTTGTTTAGACGAGAGGCGCAGTCCAAGGGCGAAAACCAACGAGGAGGTCCACCGTCCGATCTGATCAAATCCTTTGATTGTTCAAAGTAATCATTCAAACTCAAGCGTTGATCAACCTCCAACTCATCCTCGCGTTTCTTCTCCAAGCTTCCGTTCTCTGAAACACTCCTGGTGGTCGGTGGTTTTTCGGTCGACACATCAAGTGATGGCCGAGTGTTGAGCGATGTCGATACCGAAAGATTTGTTTTCTTTGTCGATATTCCGGCGACTGGCAATGAAATGTGGCGGCGAAATATCGGGGATGAAGCGGCGGCGACGAAAACTGTTCCGGTGGCCGCCATCATATCATATGAACGAAGGCCTATTTTTCTGGCACTACTCTTTACCTTGTGTGCTCACTGGTGGTGATGGACCTTCTCGTTCTCTCTCCATGTGAAAATATACTATATAAATTAATACTATAATTAACGGTATATTTTTTTCAAAAGAATGAATGATTCCGTGCGTTGACCAAATAAGGAGATGGTTTAGTTTGGTGATGAGTGATTTGTTTGATTCAAAGTTTTATTTATAAAAATTGAAAGGGGATTTTCTCAAAATTATGATTCAAAAAGTTGTCTTTTTTTTATCTTCTGTTATATACATATTTTTTGCAAAAATAAATTGCATGGCCTAATAGAATTGGTTTTCCAAGTTAGGGTTGTTCAAACATTGTTGTAAAAATTTGATGTGTTCTTTATGCAGTAGTTCTGATAATTCAATGATAATGGTATGCAGCTCCGAATTGAAATTGATGATATGTCCTAGGCTCTTACCATAGCCCTTATTGGTTACTACTTTTCTTGTCCATTTGTGTGGTTAGGTTTGTCTGAGCTTTGGATTTGAAAGAGGCACTGGGACCCACCCCCGACGACAAAGTGAGAGTGAGTACAAAAGGTCGTATTCTTTGATGGAAACTGAAAAATATTTTCATTTTCAATTCTTCAGCTTTGGAGTTCCTTGATCAATATAGAGTGGTTTACTTTTATAATCTTACTTTACAAAAATAAAAATAGCAGATTTCTACATTAATTTCATGTTAGTAAATGTTATGTTTGGGAGGATTTTTTAATTTAAAATTGAAAAAATTTTATTTTAAAATTTGTACTAAATTTTTTTTAATAACAAATCTAAAACAACTACCAAACATTACATACTGTAATAACAAAATATATATATATATATATATATATATATATATAGTCTTACTTAGAGAGTGAAAATTAAAAAATAAATATTTAGTAAAATGTTTTCGCTCGAATCTCATATTTATCATAAAATGTTGAATAGACTATTGATGGAATTGGTCAACAAACCCAACATTTAAAATGATATAATAGAAACTAGGGCTCGAATTGTTTAATGCATTAGCAACTATCGTGCAATTATATTTTTGTTGAATCGTATCAACTTTGAAATGGCAAATGAGGATGGACTTATCGCGTTAGAGGCCTAAAGCGTAATTAAAAGAGGCCTTCTCACATTAATTATATTACTATAATTCTATTAATTTTTATTTGAAAAGTATTTTTTTGGGTTAAATTGCAATAAGTTCAAGAAAATATAAAAATATTATTTAGTAGTGATTTAATCGTGGAGGTAATTGACATGTAAGAAATATGTTATTTGATAATGTAATTTGGCACTCAATTCTGTACAAATTAAACACTGAATATGATTTTTTTTTTTTTTACAAGGCAAGAAAGGTTAGAAGTTAGATTAGTAAGTATAAAGAGTCGAAACCTGACACTCCCAAAATTTACTGGAGGCACTAACCACTGGGCTATCGAGGCATCTGCAAATTGAATATGATTAAAATCGGTAAACACTATTATTTTATTTTATTTTTTTCTGCTTCTTTTGACCCAGCAGCCAGCAAGAAAAGTTAGTAGTTAATAGAATTAGGCTGAAGGGGACTTGAATCTATGATGATAGAGTGGGGGGTACTACTTAAAATGGGATAAAATTTTAAGTGATAGAGACATAACTTATGCTTAAAATTAAAAAAAAAATACAAATAACAATAATAATAATAATAATATTTAATTAGCATTTAAAAACTTTAGCACTTAAATTCTAACTCTAAAAATTTTTGGTACTTAATTTTTTTATTTTATCAAACAACACCAAAGTCAATAGAAAGAAATAAATATAATATTAGAACAAGAAAGTCAATAAAAGCACAGATGTATTTACTTGGTTATTAATACAATAAATAAAATATGATCAATACATTAAAAGAAATATACAATTAATACAACAAAATCACTTATATGGTGGCGCATCTTCGGTCATTGGGGACTTAGGTGATTGCTTTAATTGCCTTATAGTTTAACCAATTCTGGCTCTCAACTTTCTCCTCCCATTTTCAAGATTTATGCACGATTTGGTAGGAAAGAAAAAAATTTGATGAAAGGGAGAAAAGAAGAGATAAATGAGATATCAGCCATCCTTAGGGAGCATTAGGATTTCATGGAGAGAGAAGAAAGTTTTAGCATTCAGGGTGTGTACGTGTGTCTAGGAGAGAGATAATTGATCTTCAGAAAAAGAAAGTTGTGAGTTGGAGTTTTAGGTTAAAGGGTAAAATTGTAATTTTACATATATTTTAATTATATCAGCATTGAGGTTAGTGATATTATTTTATTAAAATTGAGGGCAATATCAAACTTTCACCATGGATGTTAATGTGATGAGAGTAATTTTTCTTAACAAATATGGAATGCAAAGATGTTTCAAATATTATATTCCCATTTACTTAATGAGCCTTATCTCTCTAAATGGAGTGTATGGATAGGGTGATTTCATTTTTAGTACAAATATGGAATGTGAAAGTGCTTTTAAGAGTCAGAGAGAATCATTTTGACTTAAAAAAATAGAAAAGAATGGTAGGTGGGGTGAAAATAAATTTATTGATAAGGAATATTAATATCATTTTTGTATTTAATTGGAAACCAAATTATTTTCCTAACAAATTTGGAGTTGTGCTAGCTCATATTTCGACTCTAGTTACATAGTAAGTCAGTAACTTCCCTCTTATATAAGAGCTATTCTCCAACTTAGTTTTCATGCATTCTGGTGTGTGAGTATTGATATTGTTAAAACTATTTGTATTGTTCTCCAGCTTTGTCGAAAAGATCCATTAATGGAGTGCGAAATGACAAGAGGGAAGACTGACTCTATGGTGGTTCTACAGACACAGAGACGGGGGTGTTTCTTCTTTGCCGCCCAACTCTTGTTTAGAATTTCAGCCATTGTATGTACATTGGGAGCAATTGGTAGGATGGTCACCAGCGACCAAACTGTAATAGCGTTTGGGATTGCTCTAGAAGTCCGCTATAGCTACTCAACCGCGTTGAAGTAAGACGAGTAGCTTAATATTAAGTAGGCTAACCTAGAGTTCTGATATAAAGTTGGAAAGTCATCCTCACTTACAAAAAAAAAAAAAAAAAAAAATTGTCTGATGAGTCCGACTTTATAACTTTATAATAATTATGATAATATATATAAATATAACCCCTTGTTCTCATTTTTTGTTTTGTTCTCTTTTGCAGGTCATTACTTGTGGTAAATGCTATTGTTAGCGCTTTCTCTCTGCTGTCATTGATTGTGGTTGTGATTATGAATAGATATCCAAAATCAAACTACTTTTATCTATTTCTACATGATATGGTAAGCAAATTTCATATATTGGTTTTGTTGGTATAAAATTTGATTGGATTTAATTTGTTTAACAGAAATAAACAGTTGGAATAAAGATTTGTTTAGATAAGTGCAGTGCTTTCCAGAAATTAAAGTGCTTCATATATGAAATGTTGTAAGCATATTTGTGATGGGGATGAAGTAGTAAGTGTGTGAGTGTGTGTCAGGTTATAATGGCGCTGTTGATATCGGGATGTGCGGCAGCGAGTGCAGTCGGATACGTGAGTCATTTCGGAGCAAATGAGATGGGTTGGATGCCGGTTTGTGATCGGGTGGGGAAGTACTGTGACAAAGTGACGCTAGCCGTTGCATTATCTTACGTCGCTTGGTTTTGCTTCTTCACACTCACTATCTTGTCTGCCTACAGAGCACGTCATTACTAATTCTTCTCAACGGCTCGCTCGCAAATAAATGCTCTTCCCATTTTAATTCTCTCGACCTTCTGTAATCTCGAATTAGCAGCTGTGCATGATCTCTCTGTCTCCTCCTTCAAGTACAGAATGGAAGATGTTGTGTAACTTATCACGTTTCTATTCCATGCTTTTATTGCAATTTCAATGCCAAAATCATAAACTTTAATTTTTATATATCTCACAATCTTGTTCATTTCTTTTTTCGGTTACTACGGAATGTTCATTTCCCAGAAAGGAATAAATAAAAAATTAAAATAAAAGATTTCTACAATGTTTGACAGACAACTTTGGCATATCACCAATGAGAAACAAGTTGTTCACATAGTGTGCAAACCACCAACCAACACATCACATCACACGCTACCTCCCACAGAGTCAATCCCAAGTCCATTGACTCTGTTTATGGAAACTTGTAAGAATACAGAGTATCAACCATTCAACCACCCAATGCCTACTCTAACATATATTAGGAAAATAATATGTCAATCATTATCTATATATGGACCGTCAAATGAAGAAATATGAAGAACTATAGTATAGTTGTTGAAGAAATCAAAATACGGAATTTAAGCATCCCTTGATTTTAATAATTAATATTGACAGGGCTGTGCAGTAAGGACATCACTTTGAACAGAAAATCTCAAGATATAAAATTTAGAGACTGGAAAATACAAAATGCAAAATACCAACTGCTTCTTCATCTTGTACTAGTAATACATTTTAGCTTGTATTGTGAAAGTTCAGTCAGCTCAACCAGGTGAAATTTTAGAGTTCGTCTGGGGCGGGAGAGCTAGAAAAGAGTGAGGCCATATTGTTTGTCATTCATTTTCCATCTCATCTTCGCAATCTTTAAGGTGCTCTTTGAGGGGTTGTCCTGGGATTTCCCATTTTTCGCTATCCCATGCTGAATCCATCTCAGGCAATTCATAGTCATCAGGTCTCAAGGACAGCTGGAATTCTGGAAGATCGGGCAAGTCTTGGAGACCCCTGCATCATATCCCAAGTAAAGAAATTCAAACCCCATCTTTCACCATAGAGAATGATTGTGAAAATAGAAACAAAAAGGTCTCTTACTTCTCTTGGTCCAAAAGGTAGCCATACATTTGAGATTTCCTAGATGCAACTTCAGGAATTTTCTTTTTTAAATACTTCATAGCACCCCAGGGTGGAGGAGCCCTTGACAAAAGAAATCAGGTAAATAAATAAAACAATATTTTCAAATTTAATGGTGCTGCGATAAAAATAAAATTAAATAAAATAAATGTTTCAGTGCACTGCACAAAAACAAATTCAAAACCAACCTGGTCACAGGAACTGCAACACAAAAGTTTAAACAGGTCTTCTTGCTCTCCGAGAGAAGTTCTTCTGCGGCAAGAAAACAACAAACAGCACTGACGTGACAGGACGGTTCAGTACCCTTGTCAAGGATCAGACCGTGATAGTAGTAAGCTGCAGCCTGGTAATATCTTATATGATTAGAATCTGAATATTATAATTTATTGAGTGCGGAATACGTTTTTTAAAGCCAATGTTGAAGATTCAGCAATTAAAACCTTTGCTTCAAGGTACTTCCACTTGATGAACAACAGATGCTTCTTTACATATCCGTTATCGTTGTTGCATCCGGACAAGCCGTAATGAGCCTGATTGATTAAATAAAGGAGTAAATAATTTCATTGTTAGAGGTATGGATGCTTTTGAAGGTTATAATTAATACGCAAGGCAAAATTCTCATCTGCTAACTACATTATCAAGCAAAAAATTGAAGGACATTTACATTGACAAACCCATGTCAAAAGTCAATCCAAAAGAAAAAAAGAAGTAAACAAGAAACAAGCAGAAAGATATGTACAAATGCCAGAGTGCAGCCTATAACAGGAGACCTACAATATTTTCTGTCCTTCTAATATACGGTACAAATAACTAATCAAAATAGTCTAGCATCCAAGCATCACCTATAAATCGACTACACTTGGACAGTGAATATGAAAGATGAAAAAAAGAAGAGATTCATTGCTTAGATGGTTAAGATTATCAACTCAGGTTAGTTTTGCGTGAAGAAGTTTTGAAAATAAGTGACATGTCAAGAAAGACAGAATTGTCGTATCCAAGGATAATTAACACTTGGTAACTCTTTTGAGACAATCTACATAATTCTAAGAAGGAAGTTTATGTTTTGAAGTATGATGCCCTTTAATCTGAAACATAGTCCCTCAAAAAAGTTTCAGATTCTTGGTTAGCCAACTCCCTAGCCTATGAAACTTTTCACAGATAAACTAATTTCAGTGATAGAGGAATAGTAAAGGAAGTATAGTACCTTGATTATTTACAATCATATCTGAGAAAAGATCCCCATTTCATGCAACTCCAATGTCTATCTAATTGTCTTCTTACTATTTTTTTATAACAGAATAACTAATATGAAAAAATTATTTCATTTTGCAGTTGGACCCCTGAATGCTGAATGAATCCTGCATATTAATTCACTCACCCTCCTTAATGTTTTTACAAAATCCACACGAGTGACACTTCTTTTCTGCAGATAGACCCCCTATTCTAATTGAAACTTTTCTTAGCTCATGTCGAAACCCCATCATTCCCTTCTAAATATTATTTTATTTAAGCAACACCTTGTGGCTTGTTCACACATCATAAAGAGATATATATAGATGCAGGAACATAGGAAACCATTCTCTATCAGGCAAAATATTACATTCCGGAGAAAGTAATAGTAGACTGTTATAAGCTACAAAAAATCCTAAACTTTATAAAAATATAGCTTTCTCTACGAAACGCACTTGAAAATTATCTCAAAGCTATCAGCTGTATTGCTTAGTTGGTAAATCCTGTATTTACCAGGTTTATCAAAACGAGATACATCAGATATAGAGGGAAAGAATTTCAGTAGATGGAGCACAGAAATACAGCAAGATGCCGATGATAATTGTGTTTTTAAAGTCTTTAGTTCTTAAAAAAACTGGTTATGTACCTTCCCAAAATAGCTCAGTTGTTCACATGCCAGCCTCCTCTTCACAGATAAATTAACATTTTGACTCCCAACAGCTAAGCTAAGCTGCATTTCAGTTCCCTGAATTGTCATATGCCACCGTGTTAACAAGTATTTACCACTTACATCAGCCTAGCCCATCATGCAGCATTTACGGTGCAGAATAGAGAGAGAGAGAGAGAGAGAGAGAGTAGTTTGTAAATAAACCAAAGATCAAATGAAAAAAACAAACATATTAATTAATATGTTTATATTAAACTAGTCAAAAAACATATTTGATGGGTCAAATAAAATAAGTAGATGAAGACAAGAGCTTAGCTCTTATGGTATCTCCTCTACTTACCAAGTGAAAGGTCCGGGGTGAGTTAGTCCCCATAAGGGGCAGGCTGGATTAAATCTTAGCCTTTGATACCTATTATACCAAGTGGATAACTTCATATTTGAGCACCGTTTTCATGCTTGGCAGCAAATGACCCAATATGGGGATAAGATTTGATAGGAAAGAGAGACAATAAAAGCTCGAGTATTATATGGAGATTGTATCATTCAACGATCTAGTAAAAAATTGTCTCCCTATCTTTCATATTCTTTCAATTTTCTATCATTTCCACTATGACATGCATGAGGGTTTCTCACTTGGAAATTACCATCTTCTTTTTGTTTAGGTAAAGATGGGAAACTACCATCTTGTTGCTTCTTTTTTCACTTTTCCTTTTGCTACCCCAGATTAGGTTCATAGTTGTCTTATAATCTTGGGAGGTAGGTAATCCAAGCAGCTCTCAACAAAATTTGTGTAATATGTACCTGGCCTAATGCTTGAATAGAAATAGCTTCCAATACACCTTCATGCAAATCTTTTGGCAACCTCCCCCTGGAAGTACAAACATGTTCCAGGATAATGGCAGGCCGATACGAAAGCAAATAAAAAAATTTAATAGTACTGAAAAATATGTTTACATACTTGATATCAGATGGTAAGCGAACAAGAACATGCCGAATACAGAATTCCAAGTACCCGGATGCCTTCAGCAATAAATCAACAGCATCCCTCATGCAATCTAGTGAAAGATGAAAGCTAAAAGTCAAAGCTTGTGACATCAAATTAGGATTTGGTGCAATATATAAGGCATCCCTGCTAGGTATTTTAGACGAGCATTACAAACCCGCAGATACTACCCTTTCACAAGAATCAGGGTGATCCTTTGGAATAAGCATTGAATTTGCCTCGGTCAATGTCAACATAGCCATCAAGTGGATAACAGATAGTAATTCAAACCAGGAGTTTGCTACACAGATTTCCTGCTTGTCAAATTACCGATCTAATTACTAAATTACATCTAACCAAAAAAAAAACGTAAAAAGAACAAACAAGTATAACTCTGTGAGATTCTTACTTGTTGTCCATCCAAAGTTTTCCATTTGAATTCTACCAAATTCTGGAGACCATGTTCTGTACATAAGTAAATCATTTGCATTTAGATACAAATAAACACATATACATCTCTATCAATATAAAATATATAAAAGTTGGTATGTATGATAAACAAACAAACCTTTCTTAGTGAGGCCAAGTAGAAGAGACAAATACTCTTCTAGTGCTCGTATTAATTCGGTAACAGCGGATCCATCTGCAAAATTAGTCCACAAATGAAATGATTATTCATCAAAAGAGAAAGCTTTATTAGCGTAGTGATAAAATTTTAAAAGCATTTTTTATAAGAGCTTACCAGTGTCCTGTGCGACTAATACAATCTGATTGCGAAGTGATATGATTCGATCAGCCAGATGTCTGGGAATGAGACCTCTGAGTGTGGTTTGAAGATCAGATTGTGCGGGAAGACGCATTGGTGTGACAAAAACAGCGACTTGGGGGACAGTCTTCTTTTTCTTGCTTCCAACTATGTGTATGGAAGATACACACCCCATTGTTGTTGCAGGGGACTAGTTTCCTATATAACATCCTACATATAATAAATTCATCATCACAGAAATTCTACATTTTACACCAATGCGAAACTGTGGAAATTGAAAAGGAGGAAAAAAAAAAAAAAAAAATCCCAAAACTATTTGGGCAGTAACAGCTAATTAAAAGGAGAACGAAAAAATAAATAAATAAATAAAATGAAAAGCAGTTGATTGAAATTAATAAGAAGCTAAAAGTAGAATAATATGAATATGGAGAGTTAAAGCAGGCATGTTCTTGAAATTGGCAAGCAGACCAACACACATGTACAAGTATAATACTACTGTAGATAGATATATGGAAATAGTAAAATAATAATATATAAATGAGCAGAATAATAGGAGAGAGATATATAAATGTTACTGGCTTGTGATAGGAGAGAGAGTTGTGAAGCTTCCAGGATGGAGTAGGGATGCTGATATCGCCATTGGATTTAGAATTTAGAGAGAGAGAGAGGAATCTGGGAGTTGGTGGCTAACTAGGGATGGGATGGAGCTCAGAAACCGAGAAAAGAGTCACATGGCAAATGGCGTAGGATTGAAGAGAACCCAATTAATTTCAGCGACGTTGACGGAAACCCATAGAAATCAATTTCCATCTTCTCCGTATTATTATTTCTTTGTTTAATGCGATTGAACTCACTGAGTCACTGTATCATAATAAATACTGTAGTACTACTACTACTATATTTTATACTACTAGCTGCCAAACCAAACTAAATCCGCCAAACTTCTTTTTAACTACTGTATATTGTATAAACAAATGGGATAGAAACTGAAAACAATTTTCTAAGTTCCTATAACAACCTAAATGCTAATATTGGATGTCTCCAATTTTATCTAAATCCTTTTTTTTTTTTTTTTTTGAATAATCAGATAAATTTCATGATGAATCGGATAATGTCAAAACTTTGATATTATTTTTTTTATGATTAAAAAATTTTTATTGTGACTTTTAGTGATTTGTATTAAAAAAATAAAATATCTAGTTGAAAGAAAAGAAAGGGAAATGTGACAATGAAGAGTGGACATAGAGAGGGATATGTTGAGGAAGAGAAATGGAATTGTTCAACCGTCTCTTTCTAGTTTTTCCATTTGTTTAGATTTTGTAATATATATGGTGGGATACTCAAATTCACATTATATATTTAGATTTTAGAGTAAAGAAAAATACAAATTGGAGGGAAGAATATTAGTCCATTATTTGGTTCAAGTATATAACAATAATTCAGCAAGAGAGAACATAAAACAAACAAGTTATTATCCACTTTATAATAGTAATAAATATTTTGACTTATGCTATTCATGTATTCCTCCTTATTTCACATAATTTTCTTACATTTTCAGACTTAGAGTTGCAGAAGAATTTAATTAATTCTATGTTGTTTAAGAATCATTAGGGATAATTTTTTTTTATAGGTATTATTACAAGAAAAAATGAGGTTATAATATATTACTCTCTCAATTTCAAATTAAAATTTTGAAAAATATAATTCAGAATTTTTTTAAAAAAATTTTTGTAAGTTACAATTATCAAACTTAATTAGAAAAAAGAGGAGTACCACTATTGACCATTGTGAATTTGTGAGAAAGTGAACAACAGTACTTGCCCATTGATTGAGTAGTGTTGTTGACTGATGAGTGATGACCAGGTGCTGTGTAATAACTTATAGTCTTGTACTAGAGAGATTTAAAGCGACTTGAGGGACCCCACCACTTGACAAGTTCCAGTGTCCATTTTCTACGAAATTGAAAGAGCTCTTTCTTCGCTGTCTCATACATGAAATATCTCTCATCCCCTAAAAATCTGTATCATTTCACTTTCCAGATTACACTCTTTAGTCTTTCTTTACCCTAACATCAAGATTCCACTTTTTTCATTCTTATTTTATTTTATTTTTTCGGTGAGTACCATCAAGATTGCACTCTTCACTCATACCTTTTACAACATCATTGAAAGGAAAATACATAACTATTACAAAATCAGACAAATATTGGAACATTCTGGGAAAATTGTTCGCACGTTTTTACCATCACAAAGAAATACCATTGAATGAAATATACGTAGTAGCAGTACATTATTGAGTGCATAATGCTGATAACATGCATGTATACTTAGACAACAGAGATGAGTGAGTAACAAATTTTTTGAACCATTTAGCAGCTGTCTTCAACGTTATAAATTCCACCGGCCTTCACAAATCGCCCCTTCACTCGCTTTCTAGTATCAGCTCTGGTCTTCCTTGACTCATAGCGAATGTGCTTGTCAAATCTGTCCACAGTTAACAAAAAAAATGTCTTAAATGGATGCAATGAGATGGCTCGAGAAAGGAAAGGAAATGACAAGATAATCATGCCTTCGAGTTTTCTTCTTCTCCTTGTAGCGCAACATGGCATTGCCTCTGTTCCGTGCCAGCACTTCCATGTCAACCTTTGAAGTTGCCGATTTAATAGTGTCACTTCTAGTTAGAAAAGGCTGTTTACCAAACTGTACATTGGTGGCGCTACTGCACGTTATGGGTTCAACCAACATGGATGCCGATGATATATGTACATTGTTATTTTCTGACATAGCGGGACTGTGGCTTGAAAATGATTGCGTCGAGTGATTCTGCAATTATTCCAACCAAGCTTATCAATACACAGTTGTCCCAAAAGCAAACTAGCAAAGAAGGAATCAGATAATGAAAAAGTTGTTATGATATGACAACAATAGTTACACTACATTTTAAACTCAGCAGTTGACATCAGCTCACCTTTCTACTGCTTCTTTCATCCACATTTGAAGGGATGGGTGGGCAGCAGTTGCACGATAAGAACAAGCATAAGAAAATCAGATGTAAAAGTTTCCAATCAAACCATCTTTCAATCACAGGGATTCCACTCAAGTCAATATTGTGGTGCTCTCCACACTCCCAAAGTGTTTTATGTGCAAACTCTGAGCATGCAACTTGATAATTGATCACCACTACATACAGAATTTTGGAAAATTTAACTTTTTCACATTGCTGTAAACCATAGTTGTCAATATCACATGATTCTGGATCTTAATCATATGATGCAAGTAGACTAACCATTCAATCAATTGGAACTGGTTCATTAAATAGACCATGCTCAAAAATCGACCAGAGTAGAGGGGAATCTACCTGGATCATGCGATTCTGGGTGATACAGTCTATTCCCATCCACTTGGCTGCCAATGCATCCGGATCAGATGATGTCGCATCTGAACTGCCAAAATCCTATTTTTCATATGATAACATGTGGTTTGACTAAAATTATGACCTTAGAGCGGAATGACAAAACAAGAGTTATGTACATGACCTCAAATAGTTGGGAAATGCTATGTGGAGTTGAATTATTTTACGATTCGCAATAAGAGTCACTATTTGACTATCATACTGTAGACAAGCAGGAGTCCCAATATTTTTGGTAAGCAAGCCAACAATGGATGTATGTGTATATGTAAATGCATATAAACATCCCACTAGAAATAAATTCAACAAATATCCACCTTTTCTCTTTCAACCCAAATTCATATGTCTTCATCCCACATAAAAGTAATGCTTTTTATAACTCAAACTAACTGAATAGATGTACTCCAAATTTTGAACTTCTACATTCGAAGATGAGCTCAAAAGAATCTTAATGGTGAATCATGGTTTCCAACTAGCTGCACATCTAAGAGATTTACTTAAAGAAACAAAAAAAGCAGTACTCTCCTATATTATTTTTCTTCTCACCTGTAAATAAAGGATTGAACCTTCAGAGCCTCAAATTGGTTTCTCAATGAATTTTTCAAGTTTTAACCAAATTGTCATCACAATTGAAAAATCTCTAAGTCAGTAGGCTAAGAAATTCAGGTCGAAGAATTGAAATTCCTGTAATCAACCACCTTCGTTAATATCCTTATATATTAATTTACGCAACTCACAAGTTTTATCTTGGGCTTCAGTCCTCAATCAAACACTGAAAAGCAAATCCATATGCTTTTCTGTCTATAGTGAAGAATATGTTCCAGTTCAATCCAGGAAATAAATTTTGGAGCCCTAATATCAAAGCACCTAGATGAAATGAAACACTTTTCTTTATTTCCCCTGTTGAAAAGGAATACTAGAGGATGTACTCCACTTTACACTTCCTTGCCTCAGATAACTAAATGTGAAATGTGCATACACGAAAAAAATCATAAAAGACAATTTCATCAATACGGGCAGAGATTTTCATTTATCTACTCTAAAACCGAACGTAATGTGACTTCTTATGTAGAATCCTCTGTGAATTTGAACAAACTTTCTTCCATAATTGCTAAACGCGATAACTAAATCTCAAAATGCCACAATTCAGATTATCATTCTATGTCCTATCTGATACACAGAGCCCTAAGTCATAATTCTCAAAAAAGGATCATATAATTTAGTAGGAGTATCATTTATGTCAGCTAAAGAACATTGTATATTCGTACTTTTAGCTATCTTTTGTTTGTTTGTGCTTTTAAATACTGTCAAATGTAATATGTATAATTACTTATCAAAAAATATATATATGTAACACTTATTATCTTTACAATAGACTCTTAAAACATCCTTGAAAAGAAGTAAGGGTTTTCCTTTTTCTTTTGCAACTAAACCATAAAGGACAGAATATTACTTGTGCAACACATGAGTGCTTTCAAGTCAAAGTAATAGAAAAATGACGGTTAAAATTAGCATTATTTGAAATTTCCACCACTACAAGTCAAAACTTTCTTATAAAAATAACTATAACTTTCAGATTCAACTCCAAAGTTAGGATGACTAGAATGAAAAACTCATTCATTGGTTTCAAAGTAAATTGAAGTGCACGATGTTCATAACCATACGTTCACAGGCACACATAATAAATATCACAAAGGCAAAAGATAGCTTCCTTTGTATCTCCAATATTGATTCACAAACTGAGACTCTCTCAAAATATATGAAGCCCGGCTTAACTAAAAGCAAGCTAAAGGATACTAGTTGAAACCCATAAATAGTTTAGATGTCACTTGGCAATAAACTTAAATAATAGATAGCAATCAAAAAGGCTTACCTTTTGCACTGGTATGCCGTTATATGTTGTGAAGCACTTCATCTCATTCATGTTTTGCAACACTTCCGCTGTGGTCAAGGAAGCTTCCCTTCCAATGTCATTATAGTACTTGATCGTGAAACCAGGATTCTCTGCACCATATCCTACTTCTTGTTGACTATCTTCTTCACAATCCCTCGATTTTCCTAAATGAAAATCCCAAATCTGCAAGAGCATCCGTGAAAAGACTTAACAACTACCATGCCAGTCATCACATGCCAAATTTTTTTAACCAAATATACTGGAGTGCTATGTTTGGGAGCACCGATTCAATGCTCCCAAACGCAACATAAAGGAAAATAACATCCTAAATGAAACTATACAAGATATACTGCTAAGTTACCATAAAAAGCAAAAAGATCATGTAACATGTACTTTTCTGTTCAGTTGTGTGGACGTATCTAGCAAAACGAAAAAGCAAAAAGCAAGAGGCGAGTAAAGGATAGGTCAAACACTTAAACATAGAAGTTTAACATTACCACCTTCTGTTTGGACAAAAATTAAAGCAAAATATCCATGAAGACCAAAAAAACAAGACTTTGGAAATCCAATAACTAGAGTGCATTGAATAGCTAAGCGGGCATTCAATCTAGACACCAAGGAAGTAAAGTTAAACACACACCCTACCATAGTCCTCAGAGGCCACATGAGTAGACAGTTGCCACTGTCCTGTGTATAAATTGGGATTCAGCTGTATAATCAGTTATTAGCAGCTGCTTACACAAATAAATTAAAAAGATGAAAATTTGTAGGTTTTTACTAAAAGGTGAAAGTTAGAATAAAATGAATTGCAGAAGAATGAAGGAAGGTGATTCAAACCTGAGGTGCCTGATATGTTGGGTTACAATTCCACATATTATCAACTTCATTCACGCAATCATTTTCCCTTGAGTCTACAGTCGTTGGCAACATAAGCAGAGACGTAAAGGGTGTTTGCTGATGCAATAATTCCTCATCATCTCCGTTATCAAATTCAATCCCAGACCCCAATTCAGATCCATCTCCGTTTACTCTCACTGTTTCCCTCTTGGCCAACTCCATCAGCTGCTTATACATCACAGTCTTGTACTTCCCACAGCTTGAATTCCGCAAATTCGAGACAGTTGGGAATTCAAGACTCGGAACCCCATCAGGCAAGGGATCCTCCTCATTTATCACCATCAGATCTTGAAAATTCCCAACATCGGACTTGTACAAGCGCGTATAATTGTTGGAATTGATAGAATTTCGAGGCTGTAAATGGAACCCCCAAACTAATGCGAGCTCAATCGCCGAAGGACAACCGGAGAAGTCTTGGACGGGCTCGCGTCGATGGAGGGACGAGACGGAGCAGTTGTCATGAGTGTCGGAGTCGCAGTCACCGCAGAGCACGAGATTGTCGGTGTAGCAGCGTACCGAAACCGGTTCGGACCTGCAGTTGTCGCAGATCTGTGAGCGGAGGTGCTTGAGAGAGAGAGCATTGGCGGAGTGTACGTGTTGGTCGCAGAACAAACAGAGCCTCGCCGAGTCGGCTCTACAGTACAAAACCGCCGTTCTTTCGTTGCAGAAATCGCAGGGTATGAACATCCCCGAAGTTCCAGATTTGGAATGCTTCTCCATTTTACCGGGGGGGGTTCCGTACACATACAATCGAACACACAAAGTTAGTTGACTTGATGATATACTACTAAATGGGAAAAGGAGTTGTAAAACCCTAACCCTAAGAAAGTTGAATGGAAAAAGTTTGAATACTACAGCAAGAGCTTAATTTAATTTTGACAGAGATAGAGATAGAGATAGAGATAGCATATGCATAGCAAGCGACGATGAAGAAGGGAGAGTCAGAGTCACTCTTTTTGGTGAGTGCAGTGGGCGCATAACATAATACAATTATATACTTCACATGTGCAGTTGTGCACATGAATATGATATTTATGTATGGGGAAGTTGCAAAGGCAGTGGGGTCCTTGCTTGTAAAATATCGGCACTTTTTGCCATGCTGGCGTAGAGTGATGTCGTCTTGCGTCTTTTGAACTTGACTCTCTGCCGTGCTAGCTTTTCTCAGGAAATGACCCCTCACCGATAAAATCAGGGGGCATATCTAATCTATATGTTGTGAAAAAAAAAAAAAAAAAAATCTATATGCTGCACATAAATATAAAGTGATATTCTCTGAGGTGTGTAATGAGAAAATTCGATAAATTGATTTAGAGTAATTTGATGATAAAATATTTTTGGAATTTTATATCTGAAATTATTTTATTAGTAAGGGAAACTTTAAAATGAGATATATGTAGTCTAACGTGGACATTAAAATAAATGTTATTTTATTATTAACATTGACATTGTTTTTTAGACTTTCGTTGACTAATATAAAACATCTAAGCTCGTTTGTTTGGATATAAGAAAATATTTTTATTTTTATTTTTTGGTGTTTGGTTGTCTTAAAATATTTAAGAAGAAAATAAATATTAAAATTTAATAAAAATAATTTATTCATAAATTTTCGGTGAGTTATTTTACATATCCCGTTCGATGGACTTGACCTCAACTCGATGTAGACCTTTGCCAAGTGCTGACAAAGTAAAAATAAAATAATGTTTTACCTGAAAAAGAAATATATTTTCCTAAAATAATATTTTACGTCGAAACAAATGGAGCCCTAATGTTTTTTTAAAATGGAATTGATGTCAAAATTTATACAAAATTATGGAACTTAAGTTTTAAAAAATCCCAAAAATTTATTGCAAATTCTCAAGTTTACAAAATTAAACGTATATATTATATATATAATGAATAAGTATCTTTACTTTAATTTTTTTTAATTATATATTTAATGAAAAATTATAGTTATATTAAATTTTAATTGTGAATAAGTTTTTTTTATATATAATTATAGAAAGAACGAAGGTTTTCATTACTTGTGATATACTGTACATTAATTTGACAACTGTGAGAACGAATATTTATTATTATTTTTTAAAAAATATTTATTATTATTTTTTTATCTAAAGTCCGAAAATGAAAACAGTAAACTCAAAGAGAGATATTACATAGATATATATATTTTTTAAAGGTGACAAAAAAATTTAAAAAGTAGGTTAAATATAATTAAAGTGCACATAACATCATTCTAGTATCATATTATTAGCACACACCCCTTCGACATTTTCGGAATAGTAAGAGGATAAAACAAACATTACAACCTTACTTTATATCAAATTAGAAAAAGTAATTTGAGAGGTATTTCCTCTCAATTTTCAAAAAGAATAAGGGGTTAAGAGTTAATAGCATACTTTTAAAATATGGGATGTAAGTGCTATGGGAATTATAATTTAGAGGTATTTTTTTGAACTTAAACCTTACAATTTACTCTAGTCTCTACGGTCAAGATATGCAACTCACATGACCGAGTGTTAACCTTAATTTTCAGAATACCCTTAGAGTGCATACATATATATATATATATATATATATAAAGAGAAAAAACTGCAAAAAAGTATCCCTCCGTGTTTTATGCAGTGCATACCCTCGGAATTAATGAGCTGAACTTTTAGGAACATAAGTAGAAAAAAAATTTTAGGGAACATAAAAATAGTTTTTTTTTTTGTACATTTTATTTTGAATTTTTTGACTTTACTATTTTTTATTTTAATCTTTTCTTTTTTTCTTTTTCTTTTTTTATTTTTATTTTTATTTTTTTATATGTTATTCCCAACATGATGGCTAGGCAACATATTGCTTCTTCCAAAGTCCCATACAATCCACTCGCATCTCTTTATATTGATATTACACCTTTTTTTTTTTTTGACAATGAATATCACTTTTATCTATTTGTTAGTTCCTGCAATTGCTACCAAGAAGGCAAGTAGTATTTATTTATTTTGCTTCTTCTTTTCAGGCATCGCAATTTGAACAACGTGTAGCCCTTTGCATTTGACGGGCATTAGCTTGGAAGTCATGATGAGTAATTTATTTCAGTTCAAGATTGAAATTCAATTTTTTAGATAGGTAAACTACATTTCTTGTCATTTTGTCTAAATTTTGAAACTTGAACTCTCAATTATTTATTGATTTATTTTTGTCCAAAACTACTGTACAGTGAAAGATTTGGTTTCATAAATAGAAGTAATTTCTTTTATTTATTGAAGAAAAAGTCATTTATGTTTGCATGAAGTTAATAATTATGATATAAAACCAAATGGCCAAACCTATTGGTTTTTTTCTTTTTCTTTTTTTTTTTTTTTGCCATTTGGTGAATGTTTGTAACTTACCTGGGTCCCACACATGTACCAAAAACATATTTCATTTGGTGTTTTCACCTGTCTAGTGGCTTTAAAAATCTTTTTATAATCTGAAATGATAAGAACTTAATCTCCAACTAGACTCAATTTATGTATGAAATTCTTAACATAAAATGAAATAAATTCATGATTTTGGAGAAATTGAAATGTACACGAGTTGTAAATTGTAATGTCCCTTAATGCTGGAAATGCTCTTTATCAAGAAAGTAGTGACCATTTTGGTGTGTTTATGTTAGAGGACTTGTAATAGTTCGACAATTAATTTTCAGCTTTATTTAGTCATAGACATGATAGCACATGACATGACTAGTTTTGTCCGATTAAACTATGAAGTTAAGTAGCTCACTAGCAGTAATCAAATATAAGTAGTATTATGGTAGAGCTATAATAGATAGGTGAAATATTTTGACCAAAATTTAGGTGGTCATTTTGTCTTGTGTGGACGGAAGAGGATATCCTGAGGTGCATAGATCTTGGTCTTGGTTTTTTCCGCTTATTGTTCTATTGCATGTAATTGAAGTTTTCAATTAAAATTTGTAGAATTTGAAAAAAATAATTAAAAAAATTAAACTAATTTTTTTTAAAATTCGATTAATTTTAAATTTCAATACTCTAATTTCATACGACTTGAATACACCCTCAATATATATATATTTTAATTTTATAATTAGGGAAGATCTATCATTCATTATTAATCCACATGATTGAGTACTTCTTTTCTAATGAGGACCGAGATATGTGATGCACAATGGAGAGGGGCGTTAATGATGAGATCATTGACCTCATTCTGCTTCCTTCTGTAAGGTTGGGCCGGGCTACATTAAGACCCAACTGTTTATAGGTCATTGTTTACGGGATTCAAGAGCCAGACTTGTAGGTAACAGAACGACATCGTTTTGCTAATTAAAAATTAAAACGGCGTTGTTCACGATGGACTTTTCATTTACATTACTTTTTCATGGTTGTGTGAGCCCTTGCGTCTCCCTGTCCATACCCATTTCTCTACCTGAAGCTGAAGGAAGAAGTATCACGGGCCATTCAACGATGGGGAATCCAATAGCCAAATTTCTGATATTTGCAGTGATAGCGTTCTTGGTCTCGTCGTCGTCGACGATCGCTAGCTCAGACGTACCGTTTATTGTGGCTCATAAGAAGGCCACTCCCTCCAGGCTCAAGTCCGGCGCCGAACGAGTCTCCGTCTCCATCGATATCTACAACCAAGGATCTGCGTATGTTCTCTTCAATTCCTCCTTTTCAATCTCTGTTATCAGATCTATCTTTCATGTTTCCGCTCTTTTGATCCAATCGCCCATTCTGCATGCGTTCTCTTACTGATCTCTCTCTCACACACACACACACACACACTATATATATATGCGCGATTGATTTCTGCTGTTGATTATATTTTCTGCAATTTTATCTTGTGATGATACTCATTTCAACCGGGTTAGGTTCATATAAGGATTCATTTCTTGCATAACCGATTGTTGACTTTATATGAATGCGCTTGATAGTTAATAGTACTCGATTAAGCCGATTTTCCAGCTGTGGATGTTAATTTTTTCATGCCTATTGACTTAAATATATTACTCCCTGTAATTTATTGTGGAATTGTTGTTGTATCTCTACTACCGGTTGATTAGCATTTTCTAAGTTCTTTTCTTTCTTCTGGAAAAAAATTCGTATTTTGGTCAAGAAAATTGGATGCATATTCTTTTAAAAGGCAAACCAACCAGTGCCTAAATTCTTACCATAATTTATTTTTATTGTGTTGTAGAAATATTTGGTGTTATTGATTCATTACTGGCAATGACTTTGGACTGTATCAAATCCGAGTCCATTAGAAGGATCCGATTTCAGTTCTGTTTGTTGCATTTGCATATGAACATATAATCGGCAGTAGTTGACTTTGGGACAAAGATACAGTTGTTGATTTATTTTATTTTATTATTATTATTATTATTTTGTATGAGAAACAATTTTAGAACAGTCAAACTATGTTTACAGAATGAAATCATTAGTTGGATATCCTGAGATTTGTTCATTGCTTGCTTCATGCACCAGGGCTAAATGGAGATGGAGGTGAATAACTGAAGGAAAATTTTGGAAATAAGTAACTGAAATATAGAAACCCAATATCTGTTATTGAGCTAATGATTCTCTGTTTCTACATTACACATTCGTCCCTTACTTCAACGTCTCGATTATCTAATATTGAAAGGATTGAATCTGGGTAGTTTTATCATCACTGAATTCTGGAAGTTCGTCTTCTTAAAGCTTAGATCTCTCTTAACAATGGCAATCTATTTTCCACCATCAATTGTCATCTTTTGAGTTGGTGCTGGATTTATGCAACAATCTTTCCATGAATCATGATAGATTGTATAGTTAAATTTACAGCATGAAATCATCTCATTCTAGTGTACTAACATTAGTTGATCTTTTCTGAAGCTAGAATCTTTCTGTTGCGTTCACTTCATATTATAATACTCCACTGTCTATGATCATCGTTAAGTGATTTTAGGGGCATATTAGCAAAGAAAATGCTGATTAACGTATAGGCAATGATATGGGAATCTTTTGGTAGATGTAAATCCTCCATCTAATATAACAATTAGAAAATGCTCTGGTCAAATTTGGCTATTAGAGACCCCACACTTTTTTTTCTTTTTTTTTTCCCCGCTATGTTCCATTCAAATTTTAATAAATGTATATTTATAGAGAAAAAATTAAATAAATGTAAGGAGCTGAATCAAATAAATTATCTTTTCTTAGGAAGCCTGGTCTTAGAAACTTGTAAGTAATTAATTTGGTTGGAAAGGTTGTAGAGGGATGGACAGAAGTTGATTGTCGGGTAATTTTCAGAAGATGTGAATTATGAATTATTTTTTTCTAACACTTGAAGTTACACAACTTTATTTAAGTCCCAATAAGATCAAAGTCAACCAGAAACCGGTCTGTGAAATGAGATTGTGATTTTCTGGTCTAATAGTTGAGGCGACAGAAGTAAAATATTAAATCAGTGAGACATAAAAAATAAATATATGAATTGGGGAGAGATTTTCCTGACTTAAGACCTTTCCTTCGAACCAACCAACTCCATTTTTATAAAAGGGAATGAATTTCTCTTGATAAAAAAAAGTGATATCTGTATTTTGTGGTAATTAATTATTCAGGTAATAGCCTCTTTGGGTTAAAAATCGAGGGCATCGAACCAAAAGCCAATTGATCCAGTTTTAGTTATAAAATTTTGAACTCATAACCAGACCGAGGGGCACTAGAACCAAACCAAGCAAAAAATATAAGGGTTGGTCCTGTTCGGTTTTGGTTCTTAAATATATTCAGACAATAGCATAGTTTTTCTGACTAAATTTTGGGCTTTTTATTGAGGCTTAAGTAGTGATGCTCATTGGTCTGTTTGGTTCGGGTTGATATCGAACCAAAACCAAATTGATCCACTCTTAGTTCAAAATTTTGAACTTATAACCAGACCGAGGCTCACTAGAACCAAACCAGCAAAAAATGTAAGGGTTGGTACTGTTCGGTTTTGGTTCTTAAATGTATTCAGACAATAGCAAATTTTTTCTGACAAAATTTTGGGCCCTTAGTCTCATCCCACCCTTTTATTTTTTTGGGCATCATCTAACAGCGGATAGCACATGGTGCTGAGAAAAAGAGTGGGGAACCTTAAATTGTTCTTTTATGGTGAAATGGTCACATTCCTAGTCAATCAGGGACATTATATTTCAAGTACGATGCCCTTCGTGTATTGATATAAATTATGGAGGTGGCTTGATTTTCCTTGTTGTCAATTGCTAGAAGAGTTTGATGAACTTGCTTGCAAAACTAGTAGATTTTTTGAAAGTTTTTTGGCCAATGATATCTACAGCTGTTGTGGAAAACATCTCTTTATTTGGAGGATCGAAAATCTTTGATTTATTGCTTATCGATTCAGCTTTTTACTTGGACACCTTTGACTTTTGATTCTTGTATAGCCTCCATTCAAGCACCTTGAAGTCATTTCAACTACCATCAATTCATAATATGCAAAGTAAACCATTGATTATGCTGACAGTCTTGTAACCAGCCCCACTAAAACTAGGAGAGAAATTTGAGGTGGATTCTGTTGTGCTTCTAAGTTTTGTGGTTAAAGCTCATGTGAGTGAAAATGAACTAATTTTGGTGGGGCTGGTGAATGATCTGTATCATTTGGGCAATTCTGGGGTTCTGGGGTCACGTAGCTTCCTACTCCCTACTTTGACCTTTCATAGGATATAGCTTGGGGGGGAGGTACGTGCATCCATTTGGAATTCAATAGTTGAGTTCTCAAAAGGAAGTTGGATCACCCTTATTAAGAGTACCTTTTCTAGTCTCTGTACGTACTTCATATTTCTTTTTTCCATTTCAGTCCCAGTTAAGAAAATGATAGAGAAGTCGCTAGGGATTTCTATGGGATAGTGGGGGATGAATTTAGATGCCATATGGTAACATTTGACATGGTTTGCTTCCTAGTAAGTTAGGGGGGCTAGGTATTATGATATTGAGGTTCTGTATCAATATTTGTTCCGTGGACATATGCTGAAGAGAGGAACAGCCTTTGGAGGAGAGTAGTATAGGGAAAGCTTAGAAGGAGGCATTAGAGGCTTTCTTTGGTTGGTTGTATTATTCCATTTCAGAAGAGGATCTGATAACTCCTTGAACTAATTTGGTTTGATAGTGGAGAAATAGGATTCCTGTAACCAACCCCAAGTAAATGGGAAAAAGGCTTTGTTTGTTGTTGTTGTAGTAGTAGTAGTGGAGAAATCTCGGGTGTGATTTTCCCAATGGATTTTGAGGTGAGGGGGGATCTTTTGGTTTCCTTGGGAAGCTATATGGCGCAGCCCTTCCCAAGATAGCATTATTGGTGTGACAGCAGTGTTTCAGAAGAGTGTAGTTATAGATAATCTCTTAAGGAGGGGAAAACCTGTAGAACTGGTGTTGTATGTGCAGGATGACAGTGAATCACAGCCATTTGTTACTTGATTTTCCAGTGGAAGTGTCGGTGTTGTGTGATTTTCCTTTTTCACTATGTGACACTTGACGATCATGCCTTGTTCGAATCTAGAGGTGTCACTTCTGATAAATTTTTCCAATTTCTTTTTCTTGGTGAATGGTGATATTGAAGCTTTTTTTTACCCCACTGTCTATAGATCATGTCAATTAATTTTTTTTCGTTTATGCTCTTTGTATATACCATGTGTCCATGGGTTGCACACCCTTGGTGCTCTCTAGTGTTCTTTATATATATATATATATATGAACTTATAGTTGGCTTGATATTTAAATAATATGCATTTGATAGTAGGGTCTTACCAACTCCATCACTATATCTGTGTGTAATTTGGTCCATTTGACAGCTGTTGGACATGAAATAGATTTCTTATTGTTTTAGTTTGTGGATCTCTTGCAGTTAAAGCTTGTTGATGTATGCCTGTATGGTGCTGTTAGATTCTAATTTCTCTTTTTGGGTATAATTGATGATTATTGTGGTTTAATTTTATGCATTTTTTTTTATTGATATCTGCACTTGTATAATTTAATTTATTTTATAAATTGTTGGGTCTTCAGGACTGCTTATGATGTAAGTCTTACTGATGATAGCTGGTCCAAAGATATATTTGATATTGTCAGTGGTAACACTTCAATGTCATGGGAGAGACTTGACGCGTAAGTTCCACATTCCAGTGACACCAACCAGCCACAATGTTTTTTTAATAAATTTCTTATTCCTATTTTTCAAATTAACATCTTTACCATGCAAACTTGTATAATTGGCAGTGGGGCTCTTCTATCACACTCTTTTGATTTGGAGTCCAAAGTACAAACACTATTTTATGGTGCACCAGCAGTTATCACATTCCGTGTCCCCACAAAGGCTGCTCTACAGGTTTGGCATTGTGATCATTTTCATATATATAATATATGTAGATATATATATATATATGTAGCAAAGATAAGTATATATTTGTTTAATGTAATAATTTTATGATATTTGGTCTGTTTACATTTTTAGGAAGCATACACAACTCCGATTCTGCCCTTAGATCTCCTTGCAGATAGGCCTCCTGAGAAGAAGTTAGAGTGGGTAAGTCTATCACTGGTAATAAATGCATCAATAAATTTCTTTTTAGTTATGTTATCTCCACTAAAAACCATGCTTTTGTTTTTTCATGGAATCATCTTTTAACGGCGGGCAAATTTTCTCAGGCTAAGGTAAGAGGAGTTATTGTTATAATAAATTATAGTCTCATAAGACTGCAGAATGAATTTCATTTTTGTAACTTCAAGTAGATGGGTTGGAAGTGACTCACATGACAATGATTAGTGGATTAGGGACTATGCATGTGACAGGGTTAGAAAGGGCATATCAGTGATCTTCTGTCCTCTGCTTCTGGTGTGATCTTTTACTCTTAATTAAGGGCAATAAGATTGGTTGTGACTTGTAAAAAACGAAAGCAACAAAATTGGTTGTGAGAATACAATGTTTTGGAATATTTCTTTTTGCCTGTTGGGTTTTTAAATGGTAACCAGTTGAATGTTTCCTGCTCAACATCCGTCTGTGTGATTGTCCTGCAGAGTGATTGTAATGCCTTTTGATTCATCTCTTCCTTACATTACTTTTGATTTATTGCTTTAATTAATTATAGGACTAACCGATCCTCGCGTGTGTATTTATATATGTGGGTCTTGCAGATCCACTGTACTCTTCTCTGACTCCCAATTTTGTCTTTTTAACAGAGGTTGTTGGCAAAGTACGGGTCCTTGATTTCGGTGATCTCAATCGTGGTATTGTTTGTGTACCTGGTTGCAACCCCATCAAAATCTAGTAGCAAGAAGAAGCGCTAATCGTCAGAAACTGAAACAAACTTCCGTAGCTGATTCCATAGGCTGGTCTCCAATTGGGTCTCTTCTGAGACAACGTTGCTTGCTGAACCTCCGTTCAGTTTAGGTTGTCATATGTTAGAACTTTGAAATAGATAACTGTCTGATTATATATGTGAGATGAACACACTTTGTCAATCTGCCATGCTGATCTTTGGGCAGGTGTGACTCAGTCGGAAGAAAATGTTTGACTTAGTTTTTTTTCTTTTCAATTTGTACATTTCTTGATGAGCGAGCTTCATCAGTTCTAAACTGTATTAATTCTGTGTTTGTTGTTAGGGAATTTTGCATGTATGGCACTGAATGATGAGTGAGTCCTCTTTTAATTTGATCTGATACAGAGAACCAGTTCTTTCTTAATGTAGTGACGAACTTTGCGGTTCGACATATATAATTGGGAAGTTTGAGATCTCAAAAACAAACGAGTACTTGTAAGCAAAGGAGTGTCTGAAATAATTATATGGAGTGAATTACAGGGAACAGTTTGAATTTTTACAGTAACTTAATGTTTTGGGCATGGTGAAACTCCATTTCCATATACTTAAAATGTTTTACTTTCATTGAATGGGTACTTAGACCTCGTTTTGTGCTGCCCGGCGTTGCTCTCTAGAGTTGGGTAATGGATTGATTGATCGACGCTTGCATATTAGGAAAATAGAGTTGGGTATGGCTGGATTATTGAGAAAATGACAAGTAGTTGGAGGGTCAGATATATTTAATTTTTTATTTTTCTTTAACTTTATTTTGTTATGTCAGTCACGTGTCATACGATTTGGACTCTGTATTACAACTTTATGGCTTTGATTATGGGCATTTGCTCATCTTTTCACTCGCCCGAAGTCTAATTCACATTGGAGGAGCACATTATTAGACAAAAAAATTGATGAGTGGAATAAATGATGGCCCATTTTAGGCAGCCTGTATCAAAACGTTGAAATGATGTGGTCAATGATGATAAAACACAACTAAAGCAAGCTACTTGAATAGAATAGACGCGGTGTATATTTTGGCTGTTAGAAAAACAGAAAGAGCGAGAAGAAAAAAAAAAAACAAAAACACCAAAGCCAGCCTGGACGAATTATAGTACGTCACGTTATTGCTGAATATATTAAGATTAATAACCCACCACTTGATGGTGATGTGTCATTATGCAATTCGTTAAACATTGGCAATTGCAAAGAGCGTAGTCGTATAATATAATGAATGATGTACCAACCAAATTACCAATACCTATCACTGATCGCCAATTCGCCATCCCTTGGTTGATCCGATACATACAGATACATATATAGATATAGGAGAAACAGCATCAGCTTCATTGATTGGTGTTTTGGGATTTTCGGTATACATACACACACAGAACAAACAATGAGTTACCAGCAAGTCCCTCCTCCTCCGCAAGACCCTTACCCCCCACCAGGTAGGTATCCTCTTCCTTCCTCTCATCCGATGCCTATGACCAATCCATTATTAATTAATTAATTTATTTGTTTCTCTTCTCCTTTTAATTTATCTCTATTGGAGTATTGGACTCCTCTTACATTTTTATACAATTATCATCCGTTCCTTGTTTCTTCTTGCCTATGTGATTTAGTTAGGTTTTTCAATTTCAATCTAATATGGGTATTTTTACCCTTTTTTATTTATTTTCTCATAGGGTATGGGTCTGTGTATCCTCCACCACCAGGATACCCTTCAGCACCGCCGCCACCAGGATACCCATCAGCACCGCCGCCACCAGCACAGTATGAAGGGTACCCACCACCTGCTGGGTATCCTTATCCACCACCACCACCACCACCCCAGCATACAGGAGGATATCAAGCCTACTTCAGTCAAGGCTACCCTCAACCACCACCTCCACCACCTCAACCTGCTTACCAGGTCTACCACTGCCAGCATTATCAATACAATGACCAAACTGGTTGCACTTCATTCCTACAAGGCTGGTATGTCATCTCTCTCTCAATTACCACTTCTCTCTTTGGTGCTTATACATATACATCCACACATATAGCAAGCTTCCTTTTCTGGGTCCTATATCAGTAAATTAATATGGCTTCTTTTTTGTTATACTGGTGTATTGCTTCTGATGATGCAATGTTTTAAACTTCATTTTAGGGACACTGAGCATGAAATACTCTCTGACATGAATTTTATATTCTGAAATGATTGCATGTTAGAAATTTTCAGTTTTGATTTCTTTGATTTGAATTCGTCAAAATTCAGGGTCTTGTCTAGTTTTTCATCACTTGAAATGTTCTACTTATATTGATTGCTTCATCACTCTCATGGGAAAGGTAGTTTGGTTCCATAAAAAACACTTTCCCCCAATAAAATTGTTAAATTTTTAACACTTTGATTGTCATTTCTTTATTGAAAATGTTCTGATATCTTAGACATCCTTGATTTATCCGTTATACAAGTCCAACATGCTTAGCTTAAGTTCATTTTTCCTTTCTTTCTTATATTTGTAGTCACAATCTAGAGCTGCCAAAGATTGTTAAGAAATTATACACTTTTTTTTTTTTTAACTGTTATATTCTCTTTTGAAAGTATACGTTGTAGAATCATAATATTAAAGAAAACTAATCAAGAAATTATTTTTTTTATTTTTTATTTTTAATTTTTTATATAATCATAATATTATAGAAAACTAATCAAGAATTATTGTTATTTTTTTTTTTTTTTCATATTTAAAAGGGCTTTAGATGAGCCGGAATAATACTTATCATATCGAGTGTAACTTTAGTAAATCTAGAAAGTCAAATGAGGATATGGTAAGGATTGAGAATCAAGAGCAAAAAAGTGAACATTTTCGTTATTGAGGCTCAATTATTCGTAATGAGGGAGAAATTGGAGATAACTTTAATAGTAGAATCAAGGCAAGATGGGTTAAATGGAGGACTGCATCTAGTATATTGTGATAGGCCTATCTCCTTATCATTGAAAAGAGAGTTCTATCGAAGAACTATTAGACTAGCCATACTTTATGGTACCTAATGTTGGGCAACTAGGAGACAACACTTGCATAAAGTGAGTGTGGCAGAAATGCGAATTCTGAGATGGATGTGCGGTACGACTAGAAATTATAGAATTAGAATTGATCACATTCGGGAGATGATTGGACCAGCACCAATTGGAGATAAAATGGGAGGAAATCGGTTAAGATGGTTTAGACATGTGCAAAGAAAACCTTTAAGTGCGCCAGTTAGGAAAAGTGACATAGTCCACATTGAGGGTAATACTAAGGGGAAGAGGAAGACCAAAATTAACGTAGATAAAGTTAATAAAGAAAGATATGATAGCATGTGGATTGACTGAGATTATGGCTGGCCTTAAATATAATAGAATGGAAACATAAGATTCATGTAGCTGAACCCAAGTAAATGGAAAAAGGCTTGGTGGTGGTTGTTGTATGTAAAAATATATTAGTGTAACCGTGAAACTTTTGTCTTGTTCATTATGAACATGAATCCTATGTAAAAATATATCATATCCATATCTTGTTTTTTCAAAGAAACAACCCTTTGCATTCGGAGTTAAGGTTGCTTAATCTAACCTCCCCATACCTGCAATGGCGGGAACCTCGTAAGCCGGATTTTCCCTTTATCCATATCTTCTTCTTCTTTTTTCTTTCTGAGATTTTCTTTTTCACTGTATCCATGTCATGTCGTATCCATATAAGTGCTTCCTAGAGTGCCAAGGATTTTGTCAAGGGTTTTATTATAAGCAATACCATTTCAGGGATCAACTGAACGTCTATGGGTTATCCAATAATCAGGAATCATGATGGATCAGGAGTTTGCATTATGTAGTCATTATTACTTTATCCTCGTGATCTTATTTTTTCCCCTCCTTTTGTGGTAATTTTTATCTTCATGATCTTCATTCAGTAGAGGCGAATAAATAATATGCACATAAGAATGTCTGTAGAGATAAAATTGGTGGATAGTACAACATAATGGAGGGACAAACAACTATATTGACATTAGCAGGGACCAAAGAATGAGAAGATGTCAAGTAATATGCCCTTTTCTGTAGTATTGGATGAGTTAACCATCTATGCACGAAATAACTGTGAATGGAAATTGGCAGCTCATCCAAAAACCTTCCCTACTTTTATTGGCACGGATCTGGTTGGGAGTAATTGAGGTTCAACCGTTCAAGACAAAAGGTTCAAACCCTAGTTGGATCAGGGTTAGAGACGACACAATAGTATACACATACTTTTAAGATGCATATTGAGGTGTGCTTGCACGTGCGTGTATATATAGATGCATACATATGTCTTTACGTACATACATTTAGTTAGAAGCATGCTTGAGATAAATTCTTAAAACTAGGGGAGGCTCGTGGCAGGGTGATGGTATGGATACTTTTTACAGCATTAATTTGCACACCTCAAACTTGCGTTTGGGATTACATAGTCTGTGATGTTTGTGTGTTTTATGGATGGTGGAAGATCTTGCTAGTTTGGCTGGTAAGTGCATATTGGTAGCAAAATCACAATGTTTCGTATCTCCTTGGCTGCTTGAATACCATCTTCGTCCCTGTGCCCTTTTGCCTATCAAAAAACAAGGAAGATTCATTGATAAACAATTTCAATCCTATTATTTGAGATGGCTAAGTTTGGTTGATGAAGACAAGGTTTTTTAATGGAAATACCAAGCACAACTAAATATATATTTTAATTGAAATAGCTTATTCATCAGAAGAAAAGCCTATAGCAACAATAGCTTGCTCTATTGTGTAGCTTGAAGGTTTTTTTAGAAATAGCTTGGTCAATGAAAAGGTTATGAGGAATAGTATATTTATGATATACAGAATTTGACCTAATTCTCATTTTGCAAAGTGTGTGAAATAAATCAGATTATCAGCATCATTTTTCATTGTTGCTGGTATTTTCTAACCGCATGTGTAAAGTTAATGGCATTTGACATCTGACTGTAGTTTGCGTTATGTGGTAGCTAAGCAATGAGACTGGTACTACATTTTTGCAAGTCAGTGCAATAAATTAGTTGAAATGTTTGGTTTTTAATACGAAGAATAATGAGAGAGGGATCTCTTCACTCCCCTCGTGTGTGTGAAACACATTCTGTTTCTTCTTGTATTTGCTTCATCACTGGATTTTTGTTGGTTTCAACTTTTTGTAATTGAACGTTGTTTAATTAAATATTGTCAAAAATTTAGTGTCATTCACACACACACACACACACACACACACACACATATATCCCAATACCTCGTGATTTTGTCTCAGCTTGTCCAATATAAGATCCCGGCACCAATAGACATTTGTACAAATGGTATGATACAATCCACTTCAAAGATGACTTTGGCTTTGCTTGTGAGTCACTGTTAGATTCTATCATGTTGAAATGGCTAACACTCATATATATATATATATTTGACTACATAAGCTACTGTTATATGATGAGGGCACTACTTAAGTATTTGTTTATAACTGCAGTTTGGCTGCGCTTTGTTGCTGCTGTGTGCTAGAGGAGTGCTGTTTCTAAGATGATGAATAAATAGACATGATGTACATGAGTGCCTAATAATTTTTTATGTGGGTTTCTTGTAATTTTTTTTTCTCTACACTTGTTATCTTTTCGTCTTTGCTTGGACCGGGACTTCTTTATGCGGCTGCTAAAATGTTCTATTGTGCAAGTGGAACCTATCTCACTTGATCTGCTATGGGTCTTTCATTGTTTTTGAAATCTGTAATTATGAGCCACTGATATTATTAGCACTGAAAAATAGTATTTGGTTGAAAAATGACTTATTTCACAAGCGCTGGTAAGCATTGATTGCTGAAGATGTTTGTCTATCTATAAAAATGTTTTTGTTTTCAACCTCGAGTGGCTACGCACGGAGTACCGTCTTGGTTAAACTCACTGAGGAAGTTTTTATCAGAGTGATCATGTGGGGGGGAACTGCTGCCTGAATTTTCATTCAGATGCCTCTTGTTACATGAGCTTGCAGCCTTAATTAGATGAGTTTGCCTGAATTATCATCCGCCGGACTGAGGTCCGGTCTTGGATCATTCCCGGCTCACCTAATATTTACTCCTCATAGTGTCATTCCCAGACAACAAGCCTATTCTAAGACTTCCACTCCAACCCATAGAGCTAAAGAAGCCAAGATAGGTTAGTTCTTGCCTCAGACACACTTCCTTTCGGGAATGCAGTGAGAACAAAAAACTAAAGAAGCCGAGATATATATATATATATATATCTCTTTTGATTACCATAAAACTAGAGGGAAAGGGGGAAATATAAGGGTTAACAAGAAAGTTGTAATTTTAATATGTCATTTTCCGAGACTAACTTTTGAATTGGAGATGATCTAAAATTGAGAAATGGCACAAATATCGACAACATACATTATTAGACAGCATACCAACGCCAAAGACATTGTTGTAGAAGGTGGATGGTTCAAGTCCCAAAGGACAAAGTGAGTGTTTCTTGCCGATGAAAAAGAAAAAGAAAAAGAAAAAAATGGGCATACCAACAAAACAGTGAATGATCTTAGTAACCTAACAAGTACATCCAGATGCACATATATGTTGGTGACTTGTTGCCTATATTGATTACCAATGTCACGTTAGTTAAATAGCCATTAGATAGCCAAAAAATTTCTATTTCAATCAATGAGTAGGGTCACGCTAGAGAGAGGAGAGAGTATGACGAGGATGCCGCCTCTTGTAATATATTACAGAGCCATTCTGCAGCATCTCTTCTAGGCCCCTACCATGCAATGACAGAAATAAAGTTTAGGACCATTCTAGAATTATACTCTGACATGAAAGAATTCATAATTTTTAACTTAAAGAAAGCAACCATAGGTTGTTTCAACAGTAAAATTATTTAAGGATGATATTCTAAAGAGGAAAAAAAAGGGAGTTGGATGTTGGGCTTGACAAAGAAGGATGAACTACATCTTGGCAGGAATTGATGAATCTACTTCTAACACATTTACATTAGTTTCAAAAAGTTGCAAAATACGTACACCGCTCAAATTATGAAAAATAAACTCAGTGTTGTACCATACGCGTAAAAGCCATCTTTTCTAATGAACTTGCAAGCCAAAAGCCCATTCAAGACCCAACCCCTAGTCCATAACATTGAACTGCACTGAACCAGATAAAGACACAATTTCCTGCAATACTTTGTTAAGAACTTCAACAATATCAATTAACTAGACTTGTCACTAAATCCTAGTTCAAAACTTTTTTTTATTAAAAGAAAAAAGAAGTTCCAAACCACTTGGTAACAGTATCTACAGCGACAATAATGATTATGTTATATAACCTAGTAATTAACCCACCCCAACTTACAACATTATTAGGGCCATCACTGTTAATTCTATTAACCCACCCCAAGTTGCAACATTATTAGGGCCATCACTGTTATTATATTACAAATTCCATTGGATGAATAAGACCCGATTAAGAAGGTCCCCACCATTACAAAAGGCATAACTCATAAATAGGTTATGATTTGCCTTCTTTTTTCTTTGTTATAACATCAGCTCAGTATGAGATGCATCTAAATTTTCCTTATGCAGAAGTCAACATTCCCATCAGAAAACAGAAGTTAAGCAGCATAACTCACAGAAGTACAGAAGTTCAAATAATGGCAACAAAAGAAAGGTGCATGCTAGAAGAGTTCTTTTTAATTTTTTATGAGACTTTTCACTGACCAAAAACAGAATTGACCTTGCATGACCTGACCAGCATAACAGTGGAACCAAAGTAGAGCAAACAATATAAATAAAAGCTCATTCGATTTCTGTAATCACCAAATGGAATACAAATCTTTGACCAGGGTGAACTCTAGTGGTGCAAGTTTGTGGACTTGCAATTACCAAGACAAATTTGCAGCTGGACATCTGCATACTACCTTTTCCAAGCTACACAAACATGTCAGTATCAAGAGGTAACAATGACGATTAAAAATCTGCAGCTAGACATTTGCACACTAACTCTATCAAGCTCTACATCTTCAAGCACCAATAGGTAATAGTGACATTTAGACTTTGTACTGCACCACTAACAGTTTGACTATCGAAACAGTTTTGACTATTGAAACAGCTTGACTATAGAATTTCCTCAGATCAGACAACCATAAAACTTAAGAAAGATTTAGGATGATCAATGCCCCCACCCCCCCAACCCTTTTTTTTTCCTGCAACCCAGCACATATTCAGACAAACAGCCCAATAATTGCCCACTATTAAATAGTTATTGAAGTAACTACTACAGCAACTTCAATACGTAAAATCCCTTGCATAAGGGAGTTTTGTAAGCATTACAGCAAGTATAAGGAATAAAGTTATGTTAATCAAAGCTATAAAAGCTTATAAAGACACTTTAGGGCTTACAAATACTAAATAGACCTCAACCTAGTTAATATGGATGGTTTCAGTCGGTCCCATAGTTCAGGGTCATGTCAATATAAGTGTGCAATAAATTAGAACTAGTGCACTACAAGCTAAAACACATCAACATAATCAAAAGACATATACCAAAGTATTAACAAGAAAATATGTAGTGGACTGAAAGACAGAACAGCATGCTATACCAGCATGTGTGCATGACAGGAGCCATGAAACCGAGAAACATCTGTTCTGACATCTGAAAGCCAGTGAAGAGAGAAGCGTTCTAAAGTATATTGAAGAAAACAGACTATCACAACACATCACATCTTTCTTATGTGCGGCAAGTCTCATCCAGTAAGCAGAACTTTGCATGAAATATCCAATTAAATCATTAGTCATTGCATGCTTCCTACACGGTGATGACCTAAAGACCAACCGTTCAATGCTCTGTTCTAATAACCAACATAACCGTCCATAAATTAGCAGTTTGAATGGATTAACAACTAACAAAGGTGAATTCCACACACACATAATGAAATTCCATTTGTGCAACTTGCACCTCCTTACATTCTCTTAAAACATTTTAGTGTTATTGTCTGAGTCTTTAGAGACATAACTAGTGCATGAAAATTAACTAGCACTTAACTTAAAAACCACCCATGATGACTATAAACAATCTTTTAAGGTAATATTCAGGCAATACAATCTTCAGTCCAAAAATACCCATTATTTGTTCCAACAAAAAAATTCAACAATTTCTTCATTTTGTTCAGTTTTGAGTTCATTTAAAAGAGTTAACGACATATGGTCAAAATTGGAATAGCATTTTGAATATGATTTAAGTAGAAAAAATTGGAAAACTAAGGAAATTTGTAGAAACAAGCATGGCAATAATAGAGAGGAACCCTAGATTAATCAAGATAGACAGCATTAATAAATTGTGGTAGAAGTGTCGAACCGAAAACAAGGAATCAGCTTTGCTTTTATCTCATCAAAGAGTACTACTACTACCTCCGGATTGAAATAGAAATTACAAATTTCGTTTAGTTTTTACCCGTCTCATTCAATTAAGCGTCTTTGTTGTTGTTGTTGTTGTGAGCATCATTAGAAAGATAGACACCAGGCCGAACGGCCCGCCTCCGAGTTCTGGAAGGGAGAATGTTATCCAAATCGACCTCGGCAAGCGGATCGTCGGAGAGGTCACTATCGGCGTCGCCATCGGATTCACTCCCAGCATCACTAGAATCATCGGTTTCTTCGATCAATTTCCCTTTACCCTTGTCTTCCCTCAAAATCCCTTTGCCCTTGCTATCAATTTGAGCCTTGCCATCCGAATTCTCGTCATCGTCTTCCTCCTCCTCCTCCTCCTCATCATCATCTTCATCGCCGTAATCCTCTTCTTCGTCGTCGTCTTCATCATTATCTCCGTCAGAAGAAGTTTCCAACTTCTGCTTCTTCTTTAGATCTTCGCCTTCGTCTTGGTCTTTGTCTACTGAGCAGATATCAGATTTTCGCTTTGTAGGCAATGCGTGTTCTTCTTCTTCGTCGTTCTTGAACTCTGCCATGCTTCTTTTATTGCTTCAAAATAACTAGGGTTTCGAATATCGAAGCAGAGTGAAGAAGATCTCACTAGTCACGGATAGATGGCAACTCCGTACCGCTTTGTGACCGACGAGACTAGCTAATTAGCTACAACCCTTTGTGTGTGTCTATATATATATATATATATATATATATATATCAGCTTAGTTGCTGCTCGTCTTGGGTTCTACACCAAAGTCCCGGCCCAACCTTCTGGCAGGCTGGTTGACCCAATATCATCATCCACAAAAATGCTCTTTTTATCAAGGGAAAACAAATTTGACTCTTAACAACTAATATTCTAAAGACTATTTGTGCCTCTTCATTTGTTAAAATTATACATGTCATAGTGATAGTAGTAGTTGTGTGAAGTGCACTTCTCATGTCAATAGTAAAAATGTTAGTAGTATTTTTAGTTTTAAAAAAATTGAAAATTTGATCTTATTTGGGAAAAAAAATATTTGAAGAGAAAAGAAATGTGAATAATGTTTTGCTATGCCATTAAAAATGAGAAATGAAATTACACCATTGTTATGTTTTGGAACACCAATTCAGTATTTTGGTTTTGAAAAATTAGTTCAAAGTTTAAATTGAATTTCTTTTAATTCCAATTCTAAAGAACAGCGCCTAAATCTAATTGTAGGCTTCAGAGTTTATCTAGCCCTAGTATACTTTGATATTTATTGTCTATACTTTTCTTGTTCAAATAAACTTTTGTTTATTTTACCACAAAAATAAGTGGTCGTATAAGTATAAGTATAAGTATAAATATATATATTCAATAAAGTAACAAATTACAGTCAATATAGCTCATGGTGCACACAACAGCACTTGGTAATGGAACCATGATAAACAGCATACAATGACCACAATTCTAATATATAGTACAAAAGGCCATAACCTTTGATGTCAAATGCAATATACAAATGTAGAAGAATTTAAAAGAGTTTATTAGACATGTGGAGCAAAAAAATTTAATAGATACAAAAAATCCTAACTTTTCTATCAGTGAGAGTCAATAAATTAAGGGACCATAACAAATAGAGCTTCCATTACTCAAAATTGAGACATTACAACAAGATAATGAACTAGGATGTTGAGAGTGCTAGGGGCACTCATGAGACTCATGACAGCTATAATTAATATGTTTTCTCTATTTTTAAAAAAAAAAATCTTTAAAAACATATATTTTTTTGAACAAAACTATCATTTAATTTCATTAGCCTTTTTTCTTCTCCTCTCTCTATCAATATAAATTCAATACATACATCTATATATATATATACACACACACACTGTGTATACAGCTAACCTTTTTTGGATTACATCCTTTTCAAATTTTTTTCAATTTGTCTTTCTATATATATCACTTGATATGATTACCTCTCACTTAACAAACCATCCTTATCTCTAAACTATGATTATTCATCACTACCCCATCTCTCTCTCTCTCTCTCTCTCTCTCTCTCTCTACTAAGCCATAAAATTTAAAATATAAAAATCCTTCACATAAGGTAAGCTCTGTGTGTGTGGGTGTTAGAGAGAGAGAGAGATGGAGAAGGAAAGGCCAATCAAATAGAGAAGATATTAACGGTAGTTTTGTTCCCAAAAAATAAAAAATGGTTTTTAGCTTTCATACAAATAGGAAACTCATTAACCGCCCACACTTTATAAGAGTAAATGGATGTACGAGTTTTTTACTAATAATTTTTTTTCTTTTTATTTGTCTAACAAAAATAATTATAAAATCATTCTTTCATGTTTTGAAGGTATCCAAATGCGCCCTTACCGTTATGTGTGTCTACAATATTATAATTGTGTCCAATCAAAAAGAAAAATATTTAAATTTCAGAGTACTTATAATCATTTTTAACAACCGTCTGAACCGTATTCTACATGAGTTGCATACTAAAAAGTATGGGTATGAATGTAAGATACGAATACGACAAATCTCAAATAAGCAGCATACGAGTACAAGTAGGATACGATAATAAAAAAAATATATTTATATATATATATATATAAAATTAACTTTTAATCAAAATTTTAAAATATTATGAATCTAAATGTAATTACTAATATAACATAAGAGTTCATTTCACAAAACATAAAACAAGTATCGTCATATATTTTTAACTTTTCTTAATAATTATATTATAATATTATTATTGAAAAAGTTATATTTTAAGTTCAAGACTTGTTAAAAATGTGTTTTGAAGTATTTGAGAAGTATTTGATACGTGATCAAAGTATCTGAAAAGTATCAGATACGGGGTCGAAGTATTTGAAATGTATCGGATATGTGCTAATTTTTTTAAAATATAATTAAAAATTATGAATACGTTTAAAAAGTGTTGGACATGTATCTGTAAATCTTCGAGGAGTGTTGGTATTCGATACGGACACAATACTGATATGTTGACCTTGTAAAATTATCTGTGTTTCAAAGGTTGCATATCTAAATGTCAATTACATATTGGATGTCTAAATGTCAAATACATCCAAGACACCGTTTAGGCTACAGTTGGTGTCCAATGAGAAGTAAAATATTTAAATTTTAATGTACTTCTAATCGGTTCTAATATGTGTCTGAACCTTGTTCCACATGTGGATTACATATCTAAGAGTGCGTTTGGATGTGATAGGAAAAGAAAAGAAAAGATAGGATATGGCATGTTTGGGTGGTTTAAAATGAGAGAAAATAAAGAATAGGAAGAGATAGTTGGGGATAGCTATCCTTTTTTATCCCTCATTTCTTATCTCTCCAAAAATGAGAATAGGTAGAGAAATAATAGTGCTTAAATGGTAATTTCATAATCTCGAAAATGCCCTCAACAATTAAAAAGAGAAAATTATTATTCCACTCATATCCCTTCTATTTAAAAGAATATGAATGTAATTTGGTTGTTATCATTTCTCTTCTATTCTCTCTTCTATCATATCCAAACAAGAATACTATCATTTCTTTTTCTTTTCTCTTCTATTTATCCAAATATAAATAGAGATTATTACTATCTCTTTTTTTTTTTTTTTTTTCATAGCTAATACTATCATTTATTTTATTTTCTCTCCTATGTATCCGAATCTTTTCTCTCCTATGTATCCAAACAAAGCCTAAATGTCACACCATTAAGGCTATTGTTGGTGCGCATGAATGGAATGGAATAGCCTTTTCTTTAAATCGGTGTACAATGTTAAAGGTGAAATATTTATTCCCTTGCAATTAATGTTCATTCCATTCAAAAGCTAAAATGAGGCTAGTGGCCTAATATACCAGGATCATACTTTCCAAAGGGATTGAGGTTAGAGGTTCAAACCTCGGTGGAGGCATGTATATGAGTACCAACTAAGAAAAAAAAAAATATTTTTCTTATTGGCCTAAGAATGCTCATTCTATTCTCACCTAAAATTTAAATAAAATTACTTAAGACCGAAAAAAATAAAAAAATAAAAATCCATTTCTCTCTATATTAGCTTAGATGCAGGGTTATTGTTCAATTCATAAGCCAGTAAAGCCCATTTTCTCACACCACCGTCTGCGCTGTCATCACCACCACTTCCCATCACTGCTTTCCAACATCCCCATCAAAACCATTATTGTCACCACCACTATTGTCACTATTGTCACCACCACCGCCATCACCCCCACCATTATTGTCACCACCACTATTGTCACTATTGTCACCACCACTGCCATCACCCTTTCCCGCCTCCTTCCACTGCTGCCACTTCCACCATTATTGTTACCCATCGCTTTCGGGTACTACAATATTTTACAAATGGATTTGCTAAAAGTTTTTTTTTTTTTCTGATGATTTTTTTCTAGCAAAATTCATTTTATGTTGTCTTATCAACGAAGGACTTATGATATGAGAAAGCACTCCCAAAAGGTTTTTTAGGAAAAAAATAAAATTATAGAAAATTTTATTTTGTTAGTTTAATTTATTTTTCACTCAAAGAGATATTTTGAATAATTTAATTTAAAATTTAATCTATTCTAGGTTTTAAATTGGTTTTAGAATGGTGATGACCATTATATTCTTACATCATTTCATATTTGTAATTAACTAATAATGAAAAATTATACATTCTCCAAATACGAAAAATATCAATACATAAGTGAGGATGTGAAACTCACTACATGACAACATTATAATATTATATGGATATACATTCACATTCTAATTTACATATACATTTTTAAATTCGAAAAATATATCATTGTTTAATAAGCTAGTAAAATAAGAATAACCATTCCATTTTTTATTTATTTTTATTTTTGGCGTGAAAGGTAAAGAAGAATTAAGACCCTTCCATTTGTTTTGCTCTCACCTGCATTACATTCCCATTTCAGTGTATTATCATAAACCAAACGTTTTATTTCTTTGGAAAAAGGTTAGTACTCTATAACGTTCGAAGGAAGGAGTAGAGTGGAGTGAGGGTGAGTTGTAGAGTGAAGAAGTCTAACAATCTTCCTATATCACCGCCATGGGGAAGTGGAATTGTCCAGGTGTCTTGTTTATGGGGCTTGCTTTGCATGTTTAGAGACCCCACCACATGATGCTGAGGTGTAAAAAGCGCGAAAGACAAGGCCCATGGACTGACTAATAAGAGCTGTTAAAGTACTTTCAAATTCAAAACACACTTGTCTTTCTTTTCATATATAGATATATACATACATATAAATTACATACACACGTATATAAATACATACACACGGAGGAAGAGAAAAATCTAGAGAGAGAGATAGAGAGGTAGAGATGGTGTGTGTGATCTGTCTCGTTTTGCTGGAAAGACGGAAACTCCAATACACACCAAAGAAAAAAACACTCGCCATTGAAATGAGTCCGCAAAAATCAGAGTATTTGCAACACCTGGACCTCCTTCCCTGCCCCCAACTCAACCCCATTCACCTTCCATCAGTCAATCAGTTCTTGGCCATACCCTAACCACTACCACTACCTCTTAATTTCTCAAACGGAGTAGTGGTAAAACAAACCACAGATGGGATCAAATTCTAACCCTGGTTGGATTAAGATTAATGGTGTTGTTGTGTTGTGATTCATTACCATTACATTATAGTCAGTGGCATTCACATGCATTACAGCTTTTTACCTGCATAAAACAAAATGATCGTCAATGAGCGTTACACAAATGGCATTTCTCCTTCGTCAAATGGGACTACTGTAAATACTACCACCACCCAACCCATCCCCTTGCCAAAAATAGGAAAAAAAAAAAAAAAAAGAGTGAGAGAGAAAGGAAGCCCACTACCCTCTTCTCTTTTTTATCACCCCCATTAAGCGATTGCCGAGCGGAGACAGAGAGTGTGTGTGTGTGAAAGAGAAGAGAGAAAACCCTAAGAGCCAGTTGTTCAGTGATGGCTCACGAAATCGAGGCCTATGGTATGATGGCAGGTGGTGCCGGATTTGTTAATGTGCAGGGCGACAGCAATAGCAGCAGCAGCAGCAGCAGCAACAACAACAACAACAACAACAACAACGGTGGTGGTCACGAGGAGATGATGACCCGTGGTGTTAGAGAGTTGAATCGGCCGAGTGATCAGCTGAGCCGTGACCTTGTTACCCAGTCAAGCTTAGGCTTAGGATGCTTCCAGATCAGGAACAGGAAGAAAAGGATGACCAGACTCAGGCGTTCTTCCTTAAACGCCCTTCTGCCTACCACTTTCCAATCCTCCAGCTCCAGTTCCAGCTCCTCCTCCTCGCACGTGCCACAGCCACAGCCCCAGCCCCAGCCCCAGCCCATCCCTCTCCCTCCCGCACGTGTAATTCTCTCCTTTTCTTTTCCCTTGTTCTTGTGCTGCTTTTCCCCTCCCTTCCTCCCTCATTCTCTCCTCCTTTTATATATATATATATATATGCCAAAATTCTACTACTCGCTATCGTTTTAATTGTTTTTATTTTTATTTTTACTTTTAACTGACTCGGTCGGTCCTCATGAGTTGGCCAGGTGATTTAATCTCGGGATTTATTTTCTGGAAGCACCTCCGTTCTGTAATAGTTTCTTCATGCTATTTATTCCGTCTTTTCTTTTCCTTTTTCTTATTCCCGTGAACACTCAACACAGAAATTAATACAAAATTTTAATTAATTTTATACCATTTCTTATTATAGATATTTTCTGGCACCTGCAAATGTCAAGTTGTACTTGAAACTGTTCCACTTATATATATATATATTTATTCCTGGATATATGTATATGTGTATTATATATATATATATATATATAATATCTATAAGTGTATATAAATTTTTGCGTGGTCGGTTGGGAATTAAGCTTTTTGTGTTTTCCTGATATAGAATTTTGATTTGTTTTTTATTTTTGATTATAACATAACTTTAATCTTACAGCGTTTTTCAGAGAAAGTAAGCAGAAACATTAGTATTATAAAGAAATTATATCTTGATTGCATATGTAATTATTCATGATCATCACCATCTATTTTTCATCAGACTATATATATATATATATATATATATATATGTCTGTATGTATGTATTACACACACATACACGCATCAGTCAGTTAAAAGGATAATAAATTAAGTAGGAAACAGTCAATTGGTGGCAGCGGTGCGTTTGTTTGTTTGTTAGCTATAAATTAATGAAAGTCTTGGTTGTTAGGTACTAAATTAATTAAAAGAGTGCATGAAATCGGTCGGTGGTCTCTGTCTTTACTTGTTTCCAGATACATAACACAACAATACATATCCTTGCTTCTATAGTTCTATGGCTGTTTATGTTGAGTCAGTCTACATACTGCTGAGGCGGAATGTATATATACATGGAACATAGTATGTATACATTTATGTATGTGATAGAGTCACTGTTAGTACATGATTTATACTTGGATTAAGGCTACTAATGCTGATTTTTTAATAAGATTACAAATATGGAAGACTGTAAAAATTAAAGTCTTAATATAAAACATACTCCGTAATTAGCAATTCTAACGGATTAAGAAACTTTTGACAGAAATTAAGAATCAGGAGACTGGCTGGTCAGGATAATAGTATAGGAGAGTGAGGAATGGTAGCACCAGGACTTTAATATGGCTCATTTATTATTATTATTATTATTATTATTTCAATTTTTTTCTTCCTTTTTTGACAATCTGAAGAAAGTCAGAAACTATTACCCTGCTGTATAAAATCATGTTATTTGGTAAATATTTGTTCACAGAAAACAAAGTTTCTTAGTTATGTTTATACTTGTGCCTACACTTGCTTGCCCTTTGCAAAACATACTTGTATAGGAAGTGTTACATGCTACTACGTAATTTTTTAGTGCTAAAACTTGGACATGTCTGTCATGACAATTATTATTTGTTATAGATAAAGGTTTATCACATAATTTAGTTTTTCTTCTCATATTGAAACATGTTTTAATAATTTTCAATTTTCAAAACATGTTCAATCCCAGCATCTCTTGATTTAGAAAATTAAAAGTGATTGAATTGTATATTTTTAGGTTCTCACTTTCATTCACTTACAAAGTCAAATAAATGACTAGTGCCAAAATATTTTTTCTTTCACATATGGTTTTTTACATGGAAAATCACATGATCGTGTGGAAAATCACATAATTGCTCCTAGGAAACCTGTATGCAGTTAACAGTTGGTTTGGTCTTTTTCCTATTCAACAATGAGCTGTGTGGCATCTATGCTTTGTACAATTGTGTCTTGATTTCTTGTTTAGATAACTTTTATGTTACCTGTTATGTAATTTAGTTGATTTTCTGTCTTTATCATCATAGTCATATGTTTAGAAAATATTTTATGTTCCGATTGTGATATTGGGAATAAGACAAACTTAGAATCAAATTTAATTAGTATATAATTTGTTTTTATAATTGCAGGAATGTCTGAAGGTCCCCCAAAAGTATATATAACCTTCAGACAATTTATTTATTTATTTATTTATTTTTTCCGAATGGTTAATCAAATGTCTGAAGGTCATTGAAGTTTATACACTTTTGGGTTCATATATTCTGCTTACGTGTCATCTCTACATACAAGTAATGTCATTTTGGTGGCAAATCTTTACCATTTGCCCTTTGAGCTAGATAATTATTGCCTGTGGGCAGCATGTAACACACTAAACAATTTTTTAGCAGCAGTCTACAAAAATTATCACTCGACTTTTAGCGGCGGTCTATAACAAATGCTACCAACTCTAGGACCATTAGCAACCGCCGCCGCCCATGCAGTGGCATTTTCATGTTCTCGTAGCGTATATTCTCTCTCATGCATAATACACACTACAAAAAATATTTGTCAGTGCCATAACTTTACTTGTTGCCCTTTTAGTGGCATATTTCTATCTACAGCAAGCATATTAATCAGCGGTAAAACAACTTTGGCGGCGGTCACCAAGAAACGCCTCTATAATTTTGTCGGTGGTGCGGTAAAACAACTTTAGAGGCGGTCACCAAGAACTGCCTCTACAACTCTCGCGGCGGTCACCAAGAACCGCCTCTATAATTTTGTCGGTGGTGCAAAACAACCATTGCATACACCAAAACAACATGCTTCAATAGAAAAAATTCACCCCTAATTTAGTCGTCGTGATTAGAATTTTTTACTAATATTCATGTTAGACATATGGACATGTATATACTTAAACAATGAACCTCTAGAAGTTTAAGCTATTAGAAATTTGTGTGACTTACCACCATTGACTTGTTAAATCATTAGCGGCGGCTTGAAAAAACCGTTGCTTCTTTTAGACTAAACAAATTACTATTATTTGCTATTTCTCTCACGTCGAGTAGATTATAAAAATATTTTATATTGTGAAAGCTGTTAGAGTATGGTTTAATTTATTTATTATTTGATCAACATACTCCCTCATGTGTGGCATCCTCCCCATTATGAACAAATTACATGTTATCCGTAGTTGATAGTATGGTACACATGATCTTGTTGTTATGATAGGATGTTACCAACTATAATAGATGCTTAAGCCATTATGAGGCATGTGTATCTTCTATATTTATTTCAATAATGCAAGGGAATTTAGCAGTGCTTGGAATGGCTGCCTATTTTGTAAATGTTTATGCTGTACTATTTGTTGGACATCTTGATATTTGACACTTCTTGTACTGCAGTTCATTTTGTTTGAGGTCATTAATGTGTAAGGCATTGTAATTAGCCCAGTGAGTGTCGTCGTTATTATTATGTTCTTTCATTTAGTCTGTTGGTTAAGTAGTTAGATTCAACCATGCCATATATGAGGCTCAGCCAGATGTTTCTCAATGGTTAGTTAGGTGTCTTGACTGACAACTCCTCAATGGCTTTATGTTTTAGGCAATTGATCCAGCAAGGTTGAGGTTTCTTTTCCAGAAACAGCTTCAACATAGTGATGTAGGCTCCCTCAGGAGAATGGTTCTCCCAAAGGTTTGCGTCGAACTACTTCAAAAAACATATATCTTATCGCCATTCTATAATTGAAAGCATCACCCGAACTAAAATTCACATGGGATACATGTAGCCGACCTCAAGTAATTGGGAAAGGGCTTGGTTGTTGTTGTTGGTAACTCTGAAACCTACAACCATGCAATTTGTCCTATAAATATATGGTGAACATGTTTGGTACAGCTAGTTTCTTCTATTAAGGGAACCTAACTTATGGTATTATTGGACAATTAAATTTCAGAAAGCAGCTGAAACTCACCTCCCGGTCCTGGAGTCCAAGGAAGGGTTCCCTATATACATGGATGATATGGATGGTCGGCATGTGTGGAGTTTCAAGTACAGGTTTGACTGTATATGATTCTTTGATCACTGGAAGATGGCATTCCTTTGTCTCCAAATATGAAATTTTGGAGTTTATTTTGGAAAAAAGCTAGCACTACAACAACCTACCTCATTTTTATTTATACCAAGTGTTGCAAAACAAAACATAGATTCGGAAAAAAATCAGATGAGTTTTCTTTTTCTTATGACTAAAGGTATTCACTACCAAGGTGCTATACTGTAAAATGCCATTTGGATGGAAAATTTAGGGGACAAGCAAGCAGCTCATGACTTATCTTTGAATTCATCTTCTCTCCAGACATGTCATGCTTGATTTTTCATTTTCCTCTTTTATGCAGGTTTTGGCCAAATAACTCCAGCCGAATGTATGTACTAGAAAATACTGGTATGATCTTCGTAGCATTCTTTATCCTTTTTTGGTCTGCTATTTACTTTCTTTCTCGGACAAACTTCAAATGATAAATTTCCTTTGTTTTCTTAGGGGAATTTGTTAATACACATGGCTTGCACCAGGGAGACTTCATTGTTTTGTACAAAGATTATCTAAACCATAATTATGTACGCTGCCCTGTTCTAATGTTTTTTTTTTTTTTTTTTTTCTATAATTTTGGAAAATCCTTTCCTTCAACAGTCTTCTGACAATTCTTGATTACTAGCACTTAGAATTGTTAATGAATATTCTCAGGTCATTCAATAGAATTGTTAATGAATATTCTCAGGTCATTCAAGCCAGGAAAGGTTCTGAGCCAGACCCGCATGGACCGCATGCTGAATATTATGAGAGTCATATCGTGAACGAGGCTATTCAAGCGATGCAAGCTTCTACTGATGCATATGGTGGTTCTGGATGGAATGCTTCCAATGAGCTGTTTCTTTATGATTTTGAGTTAAATAGATCTAATAACTTTCCTATGAGTTTCCCCATAACAGATGACAGGGACTCCTCGTCGTTCATATATGAAACCACCTCCTCGAATGACGCTCGGCTTGATTTCTTGGAGCCATCAATGACCAACTATCCGAGGGGTAACAGAGTGGAAAGCTTCGGATCCATTGAGAACCTGTCTATTGATGACTTCTACTTATAAGCTTCCAGTAGAAGTGGCACTAGTATTGAATAATAAGGTAATACATACTACCTGTAACAGTATGGGGGGCAAGGAATGTACTTAATGAAAAAGTTATTAGCATATAAGAAGTATGTAACAATAAGAAGCACCAAGAATAACTTGTGGAACATCATAATTATGTTGTATTTTAGTGTATTCCAACACCTGATCTATAAAGTTGTCGTATGGTATATATTAATTAATTTGCCAATAATATTGGATTTTAATGATTTTACCTGGTAGTATCTTTTATGGTATACAAGCTTAATTCATCATGATCCAGGGCAATTAATACCTTGAAGGTGAGATGAAGCTGACAGTTTTTCTCATGGGTTCCCTTTTTTTGTTACAGTTATTAAAAATTCCTACTTGCAGGGCATCTGTGCATTGGTCTTGAATCTTGATAGGGGGCTAAGAGCTCCTTTCCAGTTTGGGCAAAACTTGTGCCTCAATTTTCATACAAAAAAGAATAGTGTTTTTCCTGCCACCAAGCCTTTGTAGAAAGCATATATTGATTCCATCCTTCAGTTTTTGAGAATCAACTTGTCATATCCTCTTTCTCTTAAGTAAAGTTGAATGCCTAGTACCCTGACGGGTGTAGCGTAGTTGGATTGTATGACAGATCATGAGTCACATCCAATATACTAAATATGAGTTTGAACCTTCCACTAAACACTGTGGGTTCAAATCTTCCACTAAAATCTCACTTGTGTCATGAAGCTGATACAGGTAGCATGTTTTTTTCGTTAACAAACCTTTCAAGTTTCAACTCTCATATTCCTTTTCAATTCGTGTTTTTTATTATTATTATTATTTTTTCTCACTTCATTGGATAGAATGAATCACAAAAGGAAAAGGAAAAAAACAAATGTGTTTGGGGTGCCATTCTTCTTATGGAAAAAGAGCCACCCAGCATAACCACTAGTGGTTTTCATTGATTGTGGTCCCGCGCTTTACACACCAACAGTGAAACGATGAGCAAATTTTTTTTTTAGGGGAAATGGAGTGTAACCTGCAAACTCTGAAGCCAAGGTAAGCTAATTCCTTTTTAGAAAAAATGGAAGAAAGGATGATCCAAATCCAGGGATTTGGGGCCTTCCACAGTAAAATATTCAGTGAACTTGGCAATAGTATGTTTCTAGAGAGACTTGGAGCCCACTTGATCCTATAAAATAATTTCCTATTTTGCCGCTCTTTGATCACCACCATCACTAATCAAGTAAAATAGCTAATCAATTAGCCAGCCACTGCCTGCCAATCTTGCTGCAGACCACCGTCCGTCAATATAGATGGCCGGCATCTCATACAACGTACACCATCAAATTGAATATATATAGCACCTACCGCATATATTAGCCACTGCCTCGCTGTGGCAACCAGGTTGTGGTTCTGCACCACTAATACATCCATCATACATGCAAGAAACATTTATTCATAATGCCAACAGACTCACTGTCACTCACATCGAAGCTGATAAATAATTCTGGTTAAATGAGTTAAAAACCTTGATCTTGCTAATGGATGCTTGGCATGCACATGGACAGCATAAATTGGGAAACACAAGTGATAAACAAAAACAAGACATAAATGATTTAAGAGAGGATCAAAGGCAAGAGGAGAAAACCATTCCCCAAGATATTAAAGTTAGTGGAAGACAAAAATTGGGATAGAGTCCTCCTTAAGCAAAGGAATACTCCCTCACTATAAAGGGCCAGCCAAGCAATATCAGTTATCCTATGTTTATTAATTCCAATTAGATCCTGCTGTCTAAAGTTCCAAAAAGAGGAAAAACTCGGTTCTACACCTTTGCAAGCTCAGTAGCAGCAGGAACAGCAGCGGGAGCAACACCACCAGTGGTTGGCCTGGACACCACAGAAAACACAATTCAAATTTTGATTTTATTACTGAAGAAACCTAATCAGCTATGAGAAAAAATAAAATAAAATTACAAAGCACTCCCCTCGACCCAAATGCTGGGGCGGAGGCATCATAATGCTCATCAAATGTAAGAAAAAAACAAAAAACTTACAGCCCCACAAAAACTTTGAAGGCATCATAGATTCCCCACTGGGCACCAGTGAGAGTTCCAATCATGACAATACGAAGAGGAAGCCCTCGGGTAAAGAGACCCCACAACCCAAGCTTCTTCACCACCTGTTCAACCAGAAAATAATAAAAAAAAATGTCAAAACAAAGTATACATGAGGTACTGAAGGGAACATCATAAAGGTTTAGCAAATAATGCTAAGCTAGAGCACTTACATCACCAACAGTTGCTCCCTTGGCATTGTTGAGGAAAGAAACAAGATTGTCCGCAGGATGAGACACAATAGCACAGAAAACACCAGCCACATATCCACCAGCAAAGCTCACACCAAGCTGCAGAGGTTTGCTGCACTCATTTTTCGGTGTAGGGATGGCATACTTGTAGAGCATTTCCACTATGGTCTCAAAAGAAGCAAACTTCATCATTGTATCTGCAAATTTGCCATTTTGGTTTTCAAAGATCTAGAAACCACTGTTACAGATGTGGCTACAGGAAGCGATAACAAGACATAAACCACAGATATTGGACAGAGAAACCATGATCATATTTCATAACCATTATTTTCTGACAATCTTCTCAATGTTTATTATGCAACCATCCCTTCTAGCTTCTACCAAGAGCACCATGGAAAGTTCCAGTAATGTCTGTCAGAAATTCTGACCACTGAAAAAGTGAACTTTATACATAACAGAAATCGAAAGAGTAGGAGGCAAGGATTCAGACGTTCTTGTTCTAGATGCCACTAGTTACTGTGAGTCTATGACCTTTGCCCATTTTGTACTTAATCATAGACTGCATGATGCATATTTTACCCTTCGGACATCAATATAAAAAGACAGATTCATCGGAAGAAACAATATCATACAGTATCACTCATCTCTATATGATTGCTTTTCATATTTAAAAGGGTAAACCAAGTAGGCAGGCTTGTCATATTATAGCTGCTGATCTATATAACACTATAACAGTTATCTTTAATCATTTTCTTTGATCATTAGATGTTCATTAATACAAGAAAGAGCAAGGACAACAAACGTAAAAGGTGTAACACTATAAGAGTATGGTTTTTAATTCAAACATGATCAAAACGTCATTTAAAAGAAAATAATTAAAATTCTTATGCAGGAGAAGGAGGGAGGGGGGAGGAACGATGTTGTATGCTTCAACTTACATGGAATCTGACGCCCCCAAAGAGGAACAAGGCCTTTGTACAACCTGTACAGATTCGTTGGAATTTAGAATGATATTTTCTAACTTAAAATTCAAACTACTTTATTACTGTAACAAAAGATAAATTTGCATACCCAAGAATGCCTTCAGATTTGACAAACTTTGGAAATCCATCTGCCATTCCTACAGCAAAACCAGGCTGAGTTTGAACCCGAACCTTCACTGCCTCAAAGGGGCAAAGAGCAGCATCCGCAATCACCTCTGCAGATGCAGAGCCAGCCAGATAGATCAAAGTTTTGTATTTGGATGCATACTCCGGTCCAGCGATGTCAGAGTAGTACTTTTTAAAATATTCATAGAATCCAAACTTGCAGGCACCCTGAGCACTGTAACCAAGCAGAGTAGGAACCCATCCCCTGAAGAAGCCCCTGAATCCCTGCTCCTTAAGCAATACTCCAAAACCAGAGGAGATGCTCTTGTACTTTGAAGGGTCAATCTAATGAATTTCATGAAGTCGAGAGTTAATTACAGAATCTCTAGTAAGAATATATGAACTGGCAAAATAGGTATTAAAGATCTATTGATCTTAATACTGGAAAATGTACAAACTTGGAAACATCACATATGTTTATCAGATACCATACAGAAGTTTTCAGGAATAAGAAAGTGGAACAGAAATAAACTCCAAATATGAAGAACTCACATCTGTATCAGATACTGGAAATATATGAACCTTAAGTGCAACATGTAACATATGTCATCGGATAGCATTTCTCAAAGTCAATGAAGTCACGTCCAACTATTACGGTTGACAACATGAATTATGTTTTTCGTTTCAGCTGTATTTAAGCTCAAAATTCCAATTAAACCGCATGCCATCATATCTTTCCTTGCCATCCAGTCCAAGTTAGTTTTGATCTCTCATTCCCCCAGCATTATTCTCAATGTGGATCATGTTACTCTTTCTCACTAATGTAATTGTTGGTCTTACTTCATCATCAAAACAACCAAGTCACTCTTTTTTTACCCATTTTATCACGTGTTGCTTCCAACATCTCATGAACATATTTATGTTTATGCTTCTATATTTACTAGTTTGTGTGTCTTCTTTTATATTTACTTGTTTTACCGTACATCCATCTCAATCTTTAGTTTTTGGCCACTCTTATTTTAGGAACATATTGTTTTTAAGTGCCTAATTTCCTATTCTATAAAGTATGATTGATCTGAAGTCTATATATTGTTGTATGAATTTTGCTTCCAATTTTAGAGTTATAAATGAACCACACAATATGTCAGATACAAATTTTCAGGTAATACAGGATGCTTTATTTCTACAAGCAAGATCACATTCAATCTTTTCCACGGTGAATAATCAAACTTCCCGTTACAAAATTAAAATAATACTCACCTTTTGATAGCTCTTGACCATCAATCTTGGTGACGTCTCCACTTGATATATGGGTTTTACCAAAATTACATTCCAAACATTCAGTTCTAGTTCTACTTATATTAAAGCTTGAGTTCAAAAATTTATTTCAAGAGTCAACAAATTATTTTGAGGCTGATTTAATGTACTGTTGACTCTCGAAATAAGTTATTGAATCCTCAAAACAATGTGTTGGCATCAACAATTTATTTGGGGAGTCGATACTCATAAAACTATAAAATCAAAAAGCTGCCAAATCAAATTGAAGGAAAACAAAACAAGGAGAAATGGATGTAGTTACGGTGTAAATTTATTTGGCGAGATTAAAAAACACATATAACGATATATATATATATATATAAATATATATATATATATATATATATATATATATTTAGTCACGATATTTGAAATAGGAAAATAGATTAAAAAAATAAAAGTAGAGTGATGAAATAAAATGCAGAGCTGGAGAGGTGGACCTGCATATTACACTTGACGAGGTCAAGAGGAGTGACGGCCATGTGAGTGAGGCCACAGCTGAGGATTCCACCGACCGTACAGGCAGCATAGTAGGCCGGCGAGTACAACTTGACCTTGGCGGGCTGAGGCTCGGCGGGAGCTGGAATGAGGAAGTTATTCCCATTTCTTGAAGATGATAGCCCTCTTCCTCCACTTGCATTTGCATTTGCAGGTAGTAGTGTGAAGGACGATGACAGGAGGCTAGGGTTTGAATTGTTGGTCATTTTGTTTAGAAATGTGGTTTTGGATAGTGAGGAAGAAGAGTAAATGAAGCTTGGGATGAGAGATTCTCGAGAGCTATCAGAGAACGCCATGAGAGAGAGAGAGAGAGAGAGGACAAGACTCACTACTGAGTTTTGAGACAAAGAAAAGGAGAGAAGGCTGCTTTAACCACCCTCCCGACCCAATTTCTCTATTCTCCTGTACTGAGTTCTGTCCCAAGAAAAAGCGATTCTCCGTTGTCACCCTTTGCGTTGCGTTATTTATACGGGCTGTCATGTCCTGTAATTAAACTGCTCCTATGTTTGGGGGTCTACTGCTACTTTTATTTATTTACTTGAACGGCAGTATAGTAGTAATTGTTGAGACTTGAGATATGAAAAAAATAAAATAAAAAAAAACCGTAGGAAGGAAAAATAAAGAAAATCAGTATGTATTTTAAATGAATAGAAAATTTGAAAATACACAAACAAGTATTTTTTTTTTTATTTACCAAAAAGAGGAAAAAAAAAAATTTCATTTATGGTATAAAAGGGGAATTTTTTTTTTCCTTTCTCTGCTTACATTCTTTTTAATTAATTTATATTTAATTAGATAAATACTCACACATTCTGCCCCATAGAAGGCTCTAATAATTCCCTAACACTTTTCCATTATTTATTTTATTTTATTATTCCTTGATTAATTTACATGACCTATGAAGAGTCATAAAATAAAGATTGGACGACTTCATGCAAAAAATGTGAAATCATATTAAGTTTTTCTCCGTCTCACTCTAACACCATGTATAATAGGTTGAGGAAAACAACAAAAGATAACAGCCTGTAGTAATTGCAAATGCATCAAACAAAACTCCATTCAGAATTACAAGTATACCTATATAATATAATATGTAGTTATATTTAGGAATTAGAATATGCATAACATTTTATTATTATTATTATTATTTTTTTTTTCTTTTTTTTTTTATCAAAACCCCAATACGTAGTATTTAAGAATCCAACCTAAAATGTCAATAATCTTTTTTATCATACTTGCAAGAGTTATAATTCCATTTTACAACTTATTATGTATTAATGTAATGTGATCCATATATAGAATGAATTTTACAATAACACGATTGTAATAAGAATTGTGCCCGGCGTATTCCTTTCCTCCTCACGCTGTCTAAAGAAGAAGAGTAAAGGAAGAAAGAAACAAGAAAAGTGCAACTTTAATGATTCTGCAAATGCATGGCATTACTTCACAAATGTTAGAAATATTAAACTTTAATGATTGTCCAACTTTAATTTATTTACTTGGTTGCTTCTTGGCATCATTCTGTTTTTATTTTTTTACAGGAAGCGAAAAACAATTGAATTGAAATTGTCCCAGATGGTCGCTCAAAAGTTGATTAGGGTAAACCAGTGCTATAGTATTAATAACAACAACTTTTGCTTGCTCATAATTTAATTATGAAATTATAAAAGGCATCATTCATGAATTTGCAGATTTTTTTTTTTTCTTTTTTTTTTTCATATATGGGTAAGTTGAGTTCCTAATTTAACATTTGAGTTGAGTAGCATGTTCTATCTTCAACCATCCAATCATTTATATTGAAACAAAAGGATGAAGTAAAAATTGAGTTTTCAGAGTACCTACATACATATATACATATATAACAAAGGCAATGTTCCAAGTCATGATCAGATTCATATTAGCATATACAGGGAAACTGGAATAGATTCATCAGAACCATCCATTCATATAGAGGCAATCAAAGCTACAAGCCTCCCCTTCACCATATAATTAATAATATTCAATACTACAATTTCTAATAAACAGTGACTTATCACTTTTGTAACATAAACACGAAATACAGGACCAGACCAAACATAGCAACGCCACTGTCAAACTTAACTGAATTAGATGAAATCTTCCCCACAAACTCACCCGAACTCGGAATCATAGCAAAGGCCTCCAACCTCAGAGAAGCTGCCATTCTTGGAGGCTGTTGGCTAGTCGGGGAGGGGGAAAACATGGAGGATATGTTGGGTGTAGTTACAAATGGTAAAACTGCTGGAGAAGCCGCAGAGATTGTAGGCTCATTTGCTGAGAATAGGGAATTCAGATTACCGAAGAAAACGAGTACGAATAAGATAGCGGTAGTAGCCATGGAGAATTGACATATTTGAGTTGGGAGTGATGGATAAATATATATGGTGAAGACTGAAGATGAATTAATTAATAAAAGGGGAGATAAAGTAGTGCAATTGACTGTTTGTTAGTCTTGTGTCACGAGATGGACAGTAGTAGTTTTACTACCATTGATTTGATGTACCTTGTAACTATGCTATGCAAAGATTCTAACACTGACTGTGTTTTGTGAGAGAAATCGTTTATGTGGAGAGGAATGCGTCGAGACTCTACCGACGTGTAGACATGACACATCTGTTTTTGTTGTCATTGTTGCGGCCAAAACGAGTAAGATCGACCACATGACATTTTATCACCATCCTAAAGTACTGTCTGGTTTCACCCTTTCAGTAATCCATCAAGAGAAGAAAAAGAAAAGAGAGGAACAGTGTGTCAAAACTTAATTACCCGCGCATCAGCTGAAATCTACAATTTCTGTATAGATGGCTGGGTGCTGGTTTCGAGTACTGCTCCCTAGCTGGCTGGGGCTGCAGTGTAGGAAGTGCCAGAAGTTCCTCGGCCGTTTTTGCTCATCAAAAAGAATTCCTGTGTGTCAAAGACGATAAAGTTAGCCTACATTACATTATATAAGCATATGGTTTTCATTTACACCCTGACATATAAAGGATAAATACAGCCTGACATTTGAAATATCCTGTAAGCTTTCTATATTCCAATTGTACATAAAAATAGCAGACCTGACAAGGACAGAGCTTCCTTCTCATTGTATTACAAAAAATCACATTACTGTAATGCAAAACAGCTTATTATCCCCCCAAGTCAGGAAGTTTATGTCTCACTCTATAGCAACAACACTTGTTAATGCCAATAATCAAAAGAATCAGTGACACCAAGATCACAACTCCAACATCAGATTCTTTTTTCTTCGGAGTTGGTAACTTGGAAATAAATATAGTAATGTTACAAGAAGCAAAACCATCAACAGAACAGCATGTGAAACCTTCAGTTGCAGGCACAATTTCAATCCACGGGTTGTTATAATAAGCCAGTTTCAGTCAACCATCAACTATTCATTTTCCACCAATATTTTCAAAAGGTGGTACTCATATTTCCTGACTAGAGAAGTCTAAGATGTGCAGTATCATTCAATCTCTTAATCTGCCATCCCAATTTCCATGAATGTCGCAACACTGATACTGAAGAATCTTCTATGCATATCTTTTGTGACATTATAGGACTGCATCCAAGGAGGCCGGTGAGAAGACACTTAATCGGTACCGAGTGAGTGAAAACACAAATAGAAGAAGAGTTGAGAGAGGAGGAGCTCCTAACATTTATATCACGAAAAGAGCTTTCATTGTTGAATTCTTGAGGGGACATCTCATCTTCAGCTTCATGATCTCCACTTGTAGTTGTCACGAACTGTAGCCTGCTCTTTCCAGATTTCTTCCTTTGAATCCCTTGCCGGTTCCTATGAAGCAAATCCCAATGTGGAGCTGGGAGGGAAGGCCCATCTCGATCAAGAAATGAGTTCGAAAGAGAGTGAGAATTGTGGTGTGAAAATCCTTGAATCTCATTTTGAGGCGAGGAGAAATCTGATCTCAACTTCTCAGGCAGTCCCAAAACTATTCCATTCAAGAACTGGACCATTCGGAATTCTACCTGCCTAAATGATTCCCCAGACGGTGCAAAAAAATCAGGCTGCAGTCTGTCCATAAAGCTCAACATTTCAGGTGTGTATATTTTGGACCGGTGGCAGCCCTCCCAATGTCCCATACTCATATCCACAAGTGCATCTGAGGATTGTATATGCTCCGCTGCAAAATTTGTCTCCTGCATGGTTTATGCGGCATTTTGTTAGATTGAAGTTAAGGTGAAAAAAAGAAAAAGAAAAGATTAGAATTAGTAATATATACCATATGTCAATTAGCATTCTTGTATTTGTACCCTCTATATCATTATTTAAACTCCGATTAAAAGTAAAACTAAAATAGGTAACAACTCAAAATCATTAGATTATCTGTGGAAATAAAAATAAATTGTTATCATATCGTACAAATGGTCATATGGTGTCCACCAACAGATACAAAAGCATTATTACCCTCATTGTGCATAACATCTATAGAAATAAAAAAATGCCCACAAATTAGAAACCAAATCAATTATCATATTATTTACATTAGATGCTGAGGCCAAAATCCTGAGGTGAAACTCAAAGCTCACAGTAGATAGTATATAGATCCCCGATATACAGTCTAAAATTTACCGGCCTGTGCGCATTTTGACGTCAATGTGAAGTCTGTGTACATAATTGTGTGTGTGTGGTGTGTGATTTAAATGAAAAAGAAAAAGAGAAAAGAAATATAAAATAAAGTGGGACCCACATCACTTTTTAAGTGATTTGTGAGACCAAAATTGGTCTCTGCTGCTCTCTCTCTCTCTCCCGACTGCTCTCGGCTTCTCCTTTTTTCTTTTTTCTTTTCTTTTCACTTCAACTTCCATTGTTGATTGCTCCTTCATCTTTTGTCGGATTGAGGTACCGTTTGAGGCGAAACGAAGCTTGTAGCGAGCTCTACGCATCCATACTATCAATTTCCAGATTTGAGTCTTCCTTGGAGCTCGAATTTGGAGGACCTATTCTAGGGATTTCGGCTTGGATTGTGAGGTAGGGACATCTTAAGCCATGGAATCTTGCTCTATAATGAATCATGCTCCTCTATGTGTGTTATAGCATGTTTAATTGTTGTTGATTTTGATTAAAATGATTTAATTGACAACATGCTAGTTATGAAAATGTGTATAACATGGTTGAATGAAAAGTATGTCTATGTGATGGTTGTTTACATTTTTTTTTTGACGTTACTAACATGCTTATTTATTATTGTGCTACGTTCCCATTTGTCATTATATTGAGATCATGACATGAGCCTACATCTCATTGGATTGCATGAAAAAGGGAAGTGGTTGTCTTGAAATGAAAATGGGGATTTGGGAATGAATGTTTTGGAAAAAAATTGGTTTTGACAAACCCGGTCGCTGCGGGGTTACCAACGGGCCGGAGGTTAATGTAGCCTAGGGAGGACTAGGGAGAGTACCCTAGCGTGGTTGAGCTATTCGGGCCCCTCGACGGCGCCATGGGGTCACCAAGGGCCTAGGGACGGTAGCCAATCCTCCTCTCGTCGCGGCGGGGTTACCAATGGGGGTTACATTAACTTTGAACGTGATGGTTTTGAGAATGAAAACGGGGAGTGACTTTAGCATGCATTGTATCTCACTCCATTTGTATTTGTGTGTGATTGAATTTGACTTGTACTTGTAATTATTTTTCCCCTTCAATGCATGTCCCCAATCTTCCATTGGCCTATGCTTTATTTGGATTCACTAGGACACAAGAATTGTGTCTTAAGTGTCACCTGCTGAGCTATATGCTCACCCCTATATCTATATATATTTTTTTCAGGTCTTGGAAAGGAACTGGTGGATGACAACCCACCTTAAGCTTGAACGGCGTTAGAAGTTCACTTTTGTATCTTTGTATATTCCCCATTATTTTGTAAAACACTAGAAGTGCAAGATGTATAATTATTTTGTGGAACTTTGTCATGTAATATAACTAAAATATTGATGATGTTTTGGATGGGGATTTGATAGTATGCAACTTGTTGATGAATGGATGGATAATCCTAGTTTGAAGCATTGTCTAGATTAGTTGGTTGTATCATTATCTTTTGTTGCCGTGCATTCGGAATTTGAGCCATGACAGGTTAAAAATGCAATTAAACAGGTTGTGATAGGCCTATTTTTAGGGGAGGTCATGCCGAATTTTTTTTGTTTAAAAAGTATTAGTTTTGAGTCGTTACAAATTTGGTATCAGAGCAAAGGTTCGAAAACCTTTAGGACGACGGGTAGAGGCCTACTTAGGGTCACATGGAATGTTGTTTGTGTTGCTTACTTGACTACTTGCTACGTGATATTTTACTTAAATAAGCATGCTTAACTGCCTATGTGCTTACTGCTTACTTGTTTATGTTAAAATGTTTCTTGCATAGTCTTGCATGCTAAGTGTTGTACGGTATCAACTCTTGTTGAGTCGTCCACAGTCTTAGTGTCATGTTTCTGAATCGTTTTCTCGTTTTATAGCATGATGTCACGGCGTGAGGAACCTAGAGAAGTTGGCCCTAGGCCAACAAGGGGTGATGTTGGTGAGAGCTCGAGCTCCAATCCGGAGGAGCTAAATGATGAGAACATGCTTCTTAGGGACTTGATTCCCCCAAGAGCTGTTCCCCCAAGAAGAGAGAATGTTGAAACACCCGTACCCGTAGAAGTGGGTGAAGGTTCTGTGGCACTGGAGTTTAATCGTTTGTTGCAAAATGTCGTGAGGGCAACGATTGCTGCTCAGTCGCAGTCGGCACCACAACCTACAGTTCAAGTTGAGGAGACGCCAGCTCAGAAGCGTCTCAAGATCATAAAAGGGTTTTCTCAGTTGATGCCGGTTATGTTTGAGGGCGGTGCGGATCCAATGGTAGCAGATGACTACTTGGATCAAGTTGAAACCCAACTAACCTCAATGGATGTGACAGAGGATCACTTGAAGATCATTCTAGCAACTTACAAGTTTGCTATGGATGCTAAGGTTTGGTGGAAGTCGATCACCAACCAGTACAAGATTGAAGAGATGAGTTGGGACAGGTTCAAGGAGCTGTTTTATGAGAAGTATTTTCCGCTTTCCAAAAGATGGGAGTTACAAGACCAGCTTCATAATCTTATTCAAGGGAACATGTCAGTGGCGGAGTATGAGACCAAGTTCACCTCACTCTCCCGTTTTGATCCAGAAGTGGTGAGAGATGAAGCTCATAAGACTCGGAAGTTTGTTTCCGGTCTTAATGATCGGATGAGGCCGTTGATCATGGCACAGTTCATTAAGGTTTATTCTGAAGCAGTGGAAAGGGCTTTGATGTTGGAGGCTAATAATAAAGAGAAAGATGCAAGAAGAGAACAATGGAAGCAAAAGAGGGGTGCAGGGCTATCCTCAGAGGGATCTTCTTGAAAGAAGAACAAGGGTGGTTCATCTCAGTTTCAGGGACAACAGTCTACAAGATCTGCTTCTACCACTCCTATGCCAGCTGGATCTGACAGGAGTGCAGTTGTTTGTTATCAGTGTCAGCAGTCTGGGCATTACAAGTCCAGTTGTCCGATGAGATCGTCTTCAGTTTCGTCAGCTCCGAAGGCTTGTTATGGGTGTGGCCAGCAGGGTCACTTGATTCGTGATTGTCCAGGCCAGGGAGCAGGCACAGGTAGTGGCAGGGGGTCACGACAGAGGCCATCTTAGTCGGCTACAGTTCAGTCAGGTTTCAGACCGCCACCACCACAGCCTGCCATATCTTCACAGGGTTCACGGTCAGTTAGGAGGGATACTCCTACTATGTCAGTGCAGCAGTCAGGTGTTCAGGTTGGCAGTCCTCAGGCACAGGTACCACAGGGACGTGTTTTTGCACTGGCACAGACCGATGCATCTTCTGGACCGTCAGTTCTTCGAGGTATATTTCCAGTGTTTGGTTGTTGGGCCCGTATTTTGTTTGACTCTGGTGCATCTCATTCTTTCATTTCATCATCATTTGCACTTGCATCGGGGTTGGAAGTTAGTTTCTTGGAACGGGCGTTGAGTGTTAATACGCCAGTTGGGGTTTCAGTGTCTTTGAGCCGAATTGTGCGGGAGTGTCCCATTGTGATAGTCGGGCGAACTTTCGTGTTTGACCTTATCCTCCTGGAGATGACTAGCTTTGATGTCATTCTCGGGATGGATTGGTTGGCTTCATTTCATGCCACGATCGACTGTTACAGAGGAAGGGTTACAGTTTGCACTTCCGAGGGAGACTGTTTCTTTTTCGTGGGAGATCGGAGTGATTCCCACATTTCATCGTTTTATGGAGTTCGTGGACGAAGTCATGGTGATTACTTCTTGGCTAGCCTTATAACCGAAGAAGATGATGTTGGGAAAGAGGATTATCCTGCGGTTGTTTGTGATTTTCTGGACGTGTTTCCGGAGGATTTGACAGAGTTGCCTCCACACCGAGGAGTAGAGTTCTCTATTGATTTGATGCCAGGTACTGCGCCGATTTCTATGGCACCATATCGAATGGCCCCAGTTGAATTGGAAAAATTGAAGAGGCAGCTTGATGATTTAAGGATGAAAGGTTTCATCCGACCGAGTGTGTCACCGTGGGGCGCACCGGTCTTATTTGCTAAGAAGAAAGATGGATCTTTGAGGTTGTGCATTGATTATCTGAAGTTGAATCATGCCACCATCAAGAACAAGTATCATTTGCCAAGGATAGATGATTTATTTGATCAGTTGAGGGGAGCCAGTTGTTTCTCGAAGATTGACTTGAGGTCTGGCTATTATCAGTTGCGGGTTAGGGATGAGGATATCCCAAAGACAGCATTCCGTACACGGTATGGACACTATGAGTTCCTTGTTATGCCTTTTGGCTTGACTAATGCGCCAGCGGCATTCATGGACTTGATGAACCGCGTCTTTCACGATTACTTGGACCAATTTGTGGTAGTTTTCGTGGATGACATTCTTGTGTACTCACGGACTCGGGAAGATCACGAGGTCTATTTGAGTATTGTTTTACAAATTTTGCGGGAGCACCGATTGTATGCCAAATACGAGAAATGTGAGTTTTGGCTACAGGAGGTGAAGTTTTTGGGGCATGTTGTTTCAGAAGGTGGAGTATCAGTTGATCCATCAAAGGTTGAAGCAGTTTTGACTTGGGAGCGACCCAAGAATGTGTTTGAGATCCGCAGTTTTCTTGGTTTAGCGGGTTACT